GAGTATGTTAGAAAATAAGAACGTGCAGCATTCACCGAAAGGTCACAGAAAAAACCTGCAGTGAAGGATTATTAGTTAGTTCCAAAAGTAGTTGTAAGGAACGGAGGTTAATAATTACCGCTTTTTATATACTTTGGTTGATATACGTTATTTTTAGTGAAGTATGATTTCAATTTCCAGCATCAAATAAGTGCTTCAGGGCGCTTCTTTGTTTGTTAATTAAACTACCTACTCTAATACATTGCTGCGGCTTCAGAGTTTGATAGCTTAGTGTTTGGAGGATAAAATACACTCAATACGACTCTATGACCACTCATAAAAAATCATGACTGGCATGTACTAAAATAGGGTCGATGTTGACTGTAAATATTAAGCCAAGTATATTATTCCTCCTGCTTGGCTTTCGGACTTGTTAGACCCACTCACAAAGTTCTAATAATTCAACTAGCTTGTTATATCGTCCTGGTCCCGAAGTCAGATTCCATGCAACGTTTGGCAGATTGAGATCACTTTTGATGATTTTAAACGTGTGCAGTTGATGTAAATCGATGGCAAGCATGTTTTTTACAACTTATCAGAATTAGTATCATCACGTAGTGGTCGGCATACATATACCACCGGTCGATAATTTTGTGATCGAAAATTTACGGCAGTCCGGGTGCATTCATTTATATTGACTTCATGATGAGCTAGTGTTAACTAGACAGTTTCGTACCACTTGACTCCTTTCGTTTCAGTTTAGTTCGGAATGTTTGGTGCAGTCCGGTGCGGGGTTGTTTGGACCCTTGATTGCATTAGTCTTGTTGGGCTTTGGATAATCCCAGCTGAGGAGTTAGTTAAAGTCATGTTCCTCAGTTAAGAAAAAGTAGTTACTAGCAAGTGAAAATGTTCCGAGGTTTATACACAAAATAAATGTCAGTGATGAACTGCAAAATTAATAGTAATTATTTCGTGGATTTTTGTATCTTGAAGTTCATTTGAGTTGGTTTGTCTGAGGGCAGTGGGGAACCAGCAGCCATCACGTTACCAGACAAGATATTGACTGGTACGACAGGACAGTGTTGAAATCAGAATGCAGAAGAGTTAAGAGAAGACCATGGTACTATGATATGACGTAATTATGACGCAATTAACTACAACAGCAGTATGAACAACGGCTAAATGGAGGTGATCGAAAGCTAAGTGAATTGGGATAGACCTGTGGTCTGCAGTGGTGATAATAATGGTAATGTATCATAGACAGACTGCCCAGGCGGGAGATGACAAGCCATAGCGAAATCCGTGGCTTTTAAGCCTTCTGAGGCTATCTACCAATGGCTACGGTCACCGTACTCACAAAACGCGCTTTATGAAAGCGAAGTTTAGTCTCAACGTGATTTACATTACCGAAACTGTTGTACTCTTACTCAATTAAGTACCATTTTTAACCCAAAGAATCTGTTCGTACCTCAATGTTCGTTAGGTTGCTTCACTTTTCTGATTATTTACAAAGTAATAGTTTTCTGTGTTTTTTCCTTAACTTGCTGTCAGGTTTTTACAGTTTTCCACGTCGATGCTTGTTTTATTATATCCTTACTTGTTATGCCACCAGTTTTAACCCGTTTTATCCATTTTGAGCGTTCTGTTTTTTCATGGTCGTAAACTCTCTGTAGGACCTATTTAACAACTTAAGTTTCACAAAAGTTATGAATAATATACATTCAAGCAACCTGGATGCCGTTTTGCCGTCACCTATGGTACGCATTGAGACCAATGCAGAGATTGGTTTCGGGAAGTATACACAGACCTTGCAGTCGCTACTTACTACAGACTTGGTGAGTCAGATTGCAAGTGGGTATATGGCACTTTCAACATGAATGCTGGGGACTCCCTGAGAAACATCATCGTTCTCTTGACAAGTCAGTGAGAAAAATTGTCGGCCACCCTTAAATAGGTCAGTTCTGAGACGGGCAAGCAAACAGAGACGCTCAGTGAAGTGAAGAAGATGATCTTTGACAACGTTAGTATCGATAAAATACTTGTTGAGGGCGTGTTGAAACTCAGTACCGTCATGACATAGACGGTGTTAGACCCTCTCAACAAACATTTATCCTAGAGCACAGGCTACCCAAATACAATTTCTGTCCCCGAAAATTCTGCAGGCAACCAGAACCTTGTCAGCAGGGTTCAAAAGCATCGTGTATCACCATCAAAAGTGCTGAACGGCCCATGTCTTGTAAGAACATCAGCTAGCGATTTGATTATGCGATTCCCCCCTAGGATTATCGAACCGGTCGGAAAAGGGCATGATAAGCCGAAACGCAATCCAATTGTCAAACAGAAAGGACCCTAGCCCCAACGTAGCCGAGAACTTGAGAAAACGATCACGGTTCGAGATGATCTAGTCGTGATCATAAACCTTAAAGACAGCTCTAACCTTCCTCTCAGTCCGCAGCACAGAAACGACAAGACACCCTGGAAAGAGTTGAACAGGAAGCTCAAAATTCCCGAGATTGAGCCACTGATTGTTACATAGCTTCCCAAGCGGAAGATTTCGAGCACCAAAATCCTCCAAGATTTCTTCGTGTCGCGTTTACCAAGACTGGCGATGGAGAGGGTGTTCTGTTGGCCGGTGACTTGCTAAAATCAGGTGACATGAGAGCATTACTTGATATACCATATTCTTGGCGTAATTCTATAAAGAATATCGCCAAAGTATCTCGAGACACATTCTTTTCCGGAAGGAATGTTATTGTGCAAAGTGTCTCAGAAGAGGCGGACCCTGATCATGCAGATTACAGTATTCTAGATTGTAAATTCATCAAGCAGACTTTGAAGTTCATGAACATATTAGCCCAACAAATGGTGCGACTAGCCAAGAAGAACGCGGATTTCGGACCCTGACTTATGAAGATTACCTTTCCATCCTCTCAAGAACGGTTGCCACCTTCGAATCATCTCGTGTCAACAGACGCCGGTTATTAGCTGGAATACACATGCATCCAAACAGGTCACACCCCAAAATCAAATTTAAGTGGATTATTCCACTTATGGGCTGTCAGAATTAAGGATAAAAGCTGGAAGGGACACTGAATACTATGTGTAAGTAGTTTGCCTGTCCATTCACATAGGGCCCATTCAGACAAACCGGACGAGGAAGCTCACGGGTTTCAAGTCGAAAGATGAACTCCGCGAGTTTACTGAACATAGCAGATGAGTTGTGTGAACTAAATAATACTGATAACACTCATCTCATAGGAATATCTGATAAATGGACATCTCAATTTGAGGACCAGAAGCTAGCAATACCCGACATGTTTTTTGTTTCACAGCGACGGAAAAGCAGGAATGAGGAACATCTTAGCCATATACGTATGATCTTGTTCGGTAACTAGTCAAGTGTAAATGCAAGAGTTTGTCGATCTTAATGAGTGCATATGGTCCTCAGTAAGTTTGTCTAACACCTTGAGGTGTCTAGTTGGAGTCATTTAGACGAAGCCCACTGCTGACGTTGATTAAGAAAATCGTATGCTAGAGGGATTTTCCTCCTCTATCTGACTCAAACACTTTCATATATTGATTCCAGCAGATTAAAATCTTTCCACAGTTAATTTCGCAGAACACATGCTTATAACAGGTGACCACTCTACTGAAGCTAGGTTATTCAGCCTCGCTGAAAACCTTGAGCTTTTCGAAAATGTGAAGCTAGCAACTCACTGGGGGAATAGCCAGACGCTGTCACACCCATACTGCATATTTACAGACAAAGAACTCCTAGTTAACAACCTCTGAATCTTAAATCTCTCGGGTAAAAGTGGTCATCCTGTCATAGCTTTAATTTTATCAACAAAACTAAGCCAAAACATCCTACGAAAGACAAGCATTGAAATTTTAAACGGTTGAATGTGTCAGCTTTACAGAACAATCTACAGTAGGTGGACTGGTAAAACCACGCATAGTTGGATTTACTATCATTCCCTAATACCCTGCGTCTAACCTCACTTTTACTTACCTGGTGATCCCAGCAGATGCGAGCAATATTTCTAAGACATTTGTGGTCAAATACTAGTAATTTGTGAGTATCTTCTACTCTTAATGACCATGTTTTACAGCCGTAAAGTAGAACAGAGAGAACTGTTGCGCAGCATACTCGTCCCTTAATTGATAGACGGATATCTCGTCTTCGCCATAGGTGACGTAAGTCGCCAAACGAGCTTTTCGAATCCGTGCTGAGATTTCGTGAGACTCGAACCAAGTAGGTCGGCGCACCCACCTGTACAACTTAGTCCAAGGGTCAACAACTTTACGGACTGATGCGATAATTTGATCTAGCCGTCCCTGACTTTTTTCCAACTAACTCTTACACCATCCATCATGGCAGATCGAGAACGGCGGTACTTGGACACGACCTAAGTACCTTAATCTGTAAGGATTCATCACCTTATTGATCGATTTGCATTCCTTGCCCAGTACCTTGAGTCCAACTTCAGCACTTCTCAATTGGTGGTCTCAAAATATATAAGAGATCTTTGATCGAATACTAGTGAGATACAATATCGTCTTTTTCCAAAGGCCACGGTCTACACCCGTAAAGTAGATCCAGTGAGAACTGTAAAGCAGTATGTGAGAAAGTGGATTGGATCCTATTAAAATTGTTTCACTGGGACAACAAACATCACGTCAGAGTTTAGTGAAACAAGTGATAACCTTAACTGTCTTCCAAAAAAGAACTTATAAAGAAATTCAGGTTTGTCTCTCAAAAATATGCGATACAGCAAGCGAGTAAAACTACTTGCCGGTCGCCATGATATACTACTACAATATGACCGGGACCGAGGTCTATAATACTATTAGGTTAGATAGTCGATCGATATGCATTATGCAGACTGGATCACACCAGGTCAGATACACAACTCAAGACCAGAAACAGGACTACAGAATGGACTAGACATCATCCAACAAGATTACAAACAGTTTACACTCAGTTAGTCGAGATGAATAATCACTACGCACGATTGGTTCCCTTTATGAATTTGAATAAGACCAGAACAAACATTGATGCAGAATAACACCAATACCTCAGTGTTAACTTTCAACACATATATGGTTGTGAGTAGCTGATGAGGAACAACGAAATATAATAAACCCATATTATTCTGCATCAATGTTTGCTCCGGTTTTATTCAAAAAATCATCAGCACGAAGCAAGTTAAAAATGGAATGGTAATTAAGCTCCATCTATCAACCGACACTCAATTAGCAATCAAATCCATAAGCGACATACCACAATTTTCCAGATTATGAATAGATTTGACTGAGTAGTTCCCATATTTAACTTTCCTCCTACTAAAAGGTACGATCACTTTAAGCTTGCAATATACTTCGTGCAGAGCGTATTTATAAGTTGCATATATTTCTTCATTACTGGTGAACACTGATTCTAGAATAGAAGAAGAGCGAGTATGGGACTAGACTATGTTTCGGCAACTAAGAGACAAAAGAAATCTACAATTACACGTAATAAAATTGGGTGAAAACCACCAAAATCAGCAGAAGAAAAATCATAGAACTCGTCAACGAGAATGAATCGTGCGAACGAAGTGCGACTGGGGTCCTAATTCTGGGAAAAAATTGACGTGCTATGGGGTCGTTTCTGCATAGTCCCATTGAAAACGCTGTGTTAAGTATAACAAGAAACCCGAAATTCACTCAGGTTTGGGTTTTTGCAAGGAATAAAAACAAATTTTAATCAAACATTTCTATTAAATTTGGGGAATCGCTTCGAATTTCCAGAGATCTCCAAGTTCCTACTAGAAACCTACATATAATATTCATACGACTGATGCCTAGTTTTGTCCATGAATTATGTTTTGTTAACAAGTGCCATACTTATAAAAACACAGCTGTCCCACAGTTACCTCAATAAATCTTAGCTGCTAATTTTAACCCACTTTTCAATATCATCGTTACCTAAGGTAATCAAAAAGTTAAAAAACGTATTGAAAATAGTTTTTCTGAACCCTTTTAAGTCTAACATTATACATATGTAACCCCGCAATTGCAGTAGTCATACTGAAGACAGATGTAATATACTTCCTAAAAATTTGAAGATTAAACAGTCTGCACGCGAGAAATACTACTCATGTATCTACAAGTGGCAGATCAGAGAGAAGGATGAAAAATTATTAACTCGATGTCACTGTCCATACTAAGTCGACGTTATCAATAAATCATCATTACACATGTGTATACACCACGTTAATTCGTATTGTAAACCGTGAAGTGGAAATTCTAATAACCACGAACCCACCTGCATGTGCTGTGCTTGACAAATGCTGAGAGATTTATGTTGACTGTTTAACATAAAAATGCCGTCTAAGATGCTTGGACAAATAGTTATAATTATATTATCAACATCTACATAAGAATAAATGATGTTAACAATCAGTGTAAGGCAGAACTGACTGGACACAAGTGAACTAAAAATAATAATAATGAATTATTTCCAAAAGTAAACCTCTTTGTACCTGAGTTATGATTATAAAGACATGCACGAGACTCACCAGCAATTTTAAAGAAATGAAATAAAACAAGGATCGGATTAGACTGATTTGATATGAATTGTGTCGAAGCGAATCCACACCGCCCAAAGTGTGCTTTTCTTAACATCTCCCAAACATTAATAGATCAATAAAACAACCAAATATAGTAGACAAGTAAATGAATCGACGAGGAAACGCATCAAACCAAACCAGAAACGATCCAGTGGCATCGTCAATTGGTTTATGTAATTCAGCATATGAGGACCACACGTTGAAAAAAACTGGTGCGTAACCTCGACAAATCGTAAGATTTTACGAAAGCGATCAAATCAAGACAAATTTATCTTTGGTTTGAATTTAGTCGCACTATGTATGGTAGCTTCTATCCTTCAAGTAACCATAGTGATGTAATCGTAATGATGTATGATATAGGAAGAATCTTCAATGATATCATGCTGTCGCGACGATTTACCGATCGGGACAATTTTGAGACCTGTTTGAAAGCACACAGTGTTACCAGGGCTATTGGTTCTCGTTCTGGGCTGATGAAATAATCAAGTGGACTTAGTTTTTGGCTGTTTAGTGTTGCATCGGAGGCACGTATAGCCCACATGAATAAAAGTAAAATAGGTATCCACTTACGTATCTCATAGCCTACACTTACGTACATTCACTCCTGGGGGAGGACAAATTGTTACGGTTCCGTCTGAACGTGTTTGCTACTACTGATTATTTTTTACTCATAGCATGCACGTTTCTCCGTTGCCTTTCATGATATATACATAGACACAAGCAATTTCTCAAGGCGAGTTGGTGTCCACATTCTCTTGGTATTTGCGGCTACATCCTTTTATTATTCTATTAGCCAGAAGAATTAGTCCGTTGATTTTACTAGACGTGGAGCTGACATTTTTCAGCTTATATTCCTAGTGGTGTTTCACGAGTGTACCCTTTCTATATGTCTATATACATAAGCTACATCAGCCAAGACTCCTGAAATTCATATTCATAAGAATAAACATCGGGCAACCCGTCACAACTTTTGGAGCCTCAAAAAATGAACTCCGTGTAATCCAAGTTCGTCATAGGAGGGGAGGATTAGTTCGATTTCCGCAGATCCCTGAAATTAGCCAGCGCGGTTGCCCTAACTGCCCGGTACCATCCTGTAGAAGCTTGGAGTCGGGTTTTGCTTCCAGAGTAAGTGGCATATCTCTTAGCACCCTAACGACTGCTACCTACACACCCATGTTATTTTTAGACTTTGCTTGTTTATGTTGTTCATGCATGCCATCAGTGTGCTCTTTTTATAATCTTTCCTATTCCAACCCACTAATCTGTTGGATAATGAAATAGCTGCTGATTCTAACAATTCTGTTCTCAAAAATTCAGCCTTTTTAGCCTACGTAATATAAACCTCCAGTCATCTACTCAATTCGCTCAAATGACTGCAGCTGAGCGACTTTAAGATGCCGAAATACATGAAACATCACCGTAACATCAAGAAGCGAGGGGAGAGAAATCAATGCTTTTATACTCGCTTCCGATAAAGAAACCAAAGATTATCTCTATTAGGGATACTAAACTTATGATTTTCGTATTGTTGTCATGTAGTCGACTGTTAACATGGTTCTGGAATCACAAATTAACACTAGTTCTTCAAAAGAATGATAGATACGTTAGATATTAAAACAAAACTCGCAAAAGCTTTTTCATGTTGGACACCAAGATGCCAAGTATTGAGTTTTTCCTCTTCTTCCAACAGGTTTAATTGGAATAAAATGTGTTCTATTTGATGAATCAATATCGTGACTCATATATAGTTTATCCGGATCTTTCAAGTTGACCTTTATTGTTTTGTCGCGTGGATACTTAGACAAGCTGTGATTTCTCGGACTTTGAATTCCTTGGGTTTGTTTTCTTACTAAATCAGTGCAGTGCACAGAAAACGTCTCCAAAAGGACAGCTCATTTTGCTCTTAAATAATGTCGACACGCGGTAATTACGCCCTGTCCGACTTTATAAGACTAGAGAAAATCGGCGAAGGTATCCCTAGTTTCTCGTAACCGCCTTGTCTAGGCACATACGGAGTCGTGTACAAATGTAAAAATAAAGTCAACGGGAAATTCGCTGCACTCAAAAAGATACGTCTCGAAAATGACGAAGAGGGTGTCCCTTCGACAGCTATTCGGGAAATATCACTTCTAAAAGAATTGCAACATCCTAACATAGTGAAGTAAGTGTTCACGGGTATTCGTTCATGCACTGAAGTCTCGAGCAGGTAATCATGGAGAACGGAAGACTGTACTTAGTTTTTGAGTACCTAAATTTGGATTTAAAGCGCTATTTGGATGACAGTGGAAGAAAAAACTTGCTCGAACCTGGCACTGTTAAGGTAAAATGCTACAGCAGTTGACTTTTTAGAGCTTTATGTATCAAATGCTGCAAGGTCTGTTGTTTTGTCATGGCAGGAGAGTTATTCACAGGGATCTAAAGCCCCAAAATATCCTGGTTGATATTGGAAGGAAAATTGTTAAACTTGCAGATTTCGGTTTGGCTCGCGCTTTTGGAATTCCTGTTCGTGTACTAACTCATGAGGTATGCATTTATAGAGACATATTTTCAACCAACTTGGTTTTATGTCAAGTATCCAACTTATATACTAACCAGAGTCCTATCTTGATGAGAAAAGCGTTTCTTATCTTGTTTTATTGGAACACTGGTTTCTTATATTTGGTTAGTGCCATAAATTCTAGTGGTACAAGCACCTGGGTTCAAAGGTTATATAAAGCGTGATTAAGATAGCGCGAAATGTCATCATTGAGCTATGATTAAAGCGGTTCCGATATTTATCATCTGACCGTTCTTGGCGTATACTTTTTCCGATGAACAGTACCATTAAGGTGTCGTTTCCTGGCAAATCCACAGACTGCTATCTTGAATGGTATTTAAATGCCGGGTATGTCACAACTGTTAAACATGCTTCCAACTGACTGCACAAAGGCTCTTGTAAAAATTTAGTTCGGAGGTAGTGCTTAACAATCTTATTGATATAAACCAGTGGAAGCCTTCCAAAGCATGTGTATGAGATATTTTAAAGATTGGAAAATAGTCGGACTTAACTCTTATTACCCTTTGGATATCACGTATTTATTTACGATATGAACAAATCCGTAACTTCTTAGTTTTTACTGGAGTTAATACAAGCACGAAATAGAAAAGAATAACGTAATTGTATGATCTACTTCCGGAGGTATTTAAAAGTAAGATCACGAACTATTATACGTACTGAGGTGGTGATTTGAACGTGTCATCTACACATGAAAAGCACAAAACTTGGCATATATTTGGCTCAAAACAAGTCACATTTGTCACAGCTTTGGAAATCAGCCAGACGAAAAGCAAACAAATAAGTAATGCACGCCTTCCAAAGCCACGTGAAGGCTCAACAATCATCCCAGGATCTCTTGTAACAGGGTCGCATATCTGATTAGTTATTGGTTACATAGCATTCTGTAGAACATGAATTCAACATCCTGAAATAACTTGTTAGATTTCAGTGAACCTTTTATTTATTTTCATACTACTTAACAGGTTGTTACTTTATGGTATCGAGCTCCAGAAATCTTGCTTGGGGCTCAAAGGTATTCTTGTGCCGTAGATATTTGGTCTATGGGCTGTATCTTTTCGGAGGTCTCAACGAAAGAAGCTTTGTTTCGAGGAGATTCGGAAATAGATCAACTTTTTCGCATCTTCCGGCTCCTTGGTACTCCATCAGAAGAAGTTTGGCCAGGAGTTTCAAGTTTGCCGGAATATCAAAAGAAAAGTTTCCCTATTTGGCGAAATTCAAAGTTGTCTATTCAAGATAATATAGCTAAAGCCTTCAGCAGTCCTGGTCTTGATTTGCTTCAGGTAAATTCTCTCTTAAAGCAGTTCTTACAACAACGCATGATAATTTCTAGCAGTTTAGAATTTTGATTTTCAAAGTTCCATTCAGTTTAGCACGTACACAGAAACCAACTTACCAATTTTTTGTGAAATGGTGCCATGTTTTTTTGTATCCAACTGAACTAAGAGCAGTGAAGTAAATATTTTTTGGAACAAGCACAATACAAACCAGTGCTGTGGACCTTAATTGTATCAAGTATCTCGAGTTAGAGCTATGCTCTACCCGCACTTAAGTTTATTTAATAAGATAGTGTCACTATCCCGCAAACCAGATGTTATTCTCAAACTAGTAGACGAATATGTACACGTTTACTAAATAATTATTATGAGATAGTTAATAAATTCTATCATTCAGGAATAGCACCTTCCCACTAATCGGTTCTGCACTAGATCACTACTGGCTTAGTAGTTTAATCACTTGACTCAGCAAAAATTGTAAACTTTCACTTGGTGTGAAGTACGTTATTGTTAGTTAGTACTACATATATTTCTCCGTGGTTTCGTATTTTACGGAGTGTATCACATAACTTATTTTTCCTTGTCATTGATTCCTTTTACAGGCTATGCTGATCTATGAACCTTCACGGCGTATTACTGCAAGGGATGCACTTTTGCATCCTTATTTTTCTGACTTGGACAAATCTCTTGTGCCAGCAACTGGTGAAGAGTACATTGGTTTGCCATTAGACCAGTTACCGCGTGAAGTTGCTGCTATATTTCTAGCAGATGGCGGTGAAGTATATCATAATTCCAACGATACTGAAAATAATACTAACAATTTATGTGTTGCCGTCCAACCTGATACCGTACAATTAGGAAGTGCAGCAGTCCCTACAGCAAAATATTTGGCTGACTGCAAAAAGCAAGCTCATCAAACAGTAGGTGCAGTTAATTCCAAGTCTAGTCACCATGTGGCACCGTTGGCAGACAATCACGAAACTAATATGTCAATTAGCTAGTCAGTAAAACCAGTCAAAACTTGGCTTTCTTATTTACCACAAACCACCAGTTATTTTCTAATTTTGTCATTATTATTCCATTTTCTATTACTATGTAAATGTTATCCCGATTCTATAAGATGTTAGTGCGTTTTTGTGTTTGTTTCATTTTTCTTTGTAATAAATATAACCTACTTCTAACTGCTATTTTTGTGCGTAATCACTAGAAATCTAACTAATCATTCAATTTGATTGGAAAAACCTGTAGTTTCATTGTATGTCTTGATTTTCAAAAATGTACCAGAACTTACTATTTGGTTCATGGATATTTTGCCGCAAGTTCGTAATTTCCATCAAAACCCCTAATTAATATGGCTTTCCTACCGATCGCTTACATTGAAAATTTGTTTACCATACTACTACAGTGTCAGCAAATCGTATCATTTACAGAATGCTATTCCATAAAGTAGTTTATCATTGCATTAGTCAGACATGTTTTTTGTCGGGTTTGAGTCTTCAAAATCCCTTATAACCAGGATTTTGAAATTCATAGATACATGTTCCAGAACTTGCTGCATCGACAGAGTAGTTTGCTTTTTGTCTCCTCTGTATCTTGATTAGTATTATGTCATAGTTTTGATTACTTGGGTTTATTTCTGTTGCTCTCATAATTCATTGGTTTTTCATAGTGCTGTATTTGTTAATTTCCACTCACCATTCTGGGATGAATTGCATCAATACGCAATTTTATGTTAGGCAGTGCATTTGTCTTTATTTCTTGTGAGAAAATATCTCATAAAGTACTTGAGCATCAAATAATACTCATGGTAAGATTGCTCCCAAATGCCCTGGTACGGCCGAGAATGGGGAGAGTACGCTCTCCCTCTCCAAATGATCTCACATGTCCACGTGTATATAGCCTCTGCCAGGGAAGTCCTACTCACTGCCTTCTCACATCAGCGGTGTTGTTTACGAAATTGAGAGGACGAAAAGCGAATGTCCGACACTTTAACCGGGTTGGTAGACACGGCGAGTGCACCTAGGGGAGTTGGAAAACCCTGACTCCAAACCAATAGTGCACATTGGCTCCAGCGTCGTGGAGGAACAGATGGCGCATGAATCATTCGCTGGTCACCGGCTACCACGGAACTGCATCTCCTTACGATGCTCCACTGCCTTATGGATCAGATCTTTAGGTCAAAGGCTCCGGGTGTGGTCCCCTAAGAAAACCACCTGCTTCAGTTTGGGCACCTGGGTAGTATCACAGCCCTCACACAAATCAAATGAGATTTGTGTGGCGCGTATGTATCTGGTGCCCCTTTGTACCAATATTTATGTGTTTTAATAAATAAGTGTGGGCTAGAAGAGCTAGGTCCTTTGTGAAATGCAAATCGTTTAGCTGCACCCATGTTGTCCATTGTACTTCGTGCTTCCCCTGAGATGTGGAGGTCTCCATAGTTCAATTGACCACTAGAAGAAAGAGATGTGTGAGCTGTCCTCCATACACGATTTTGCAGTGTAGTCCATCGCATGAATCCCGCATGATGTTGACGATCTCAGGTACAGCAGTGTCAAAGATGGTCCCACAAGTTTCTCCTATCCATACTATCGAACACCATCTCACAGTCAAGGGGTTTGATTCGTAGTGATGAGTTCAATTCAACTGGTTGTTCAACAATGATCTGTAGTGTCGCGATATGGTCGATACGCGGTCGATCCTTACGAAAGCCAGCCTGTTGGTTCCAAAGTTAAGCTCCCACTGAATCGATTCAACAACACTTGAAAACTTTGCGTGACACTGACAATGGTGTCTGTAGTTCTCATACTTACTAAAAATTTTCTTTTAGATCTTGATAGGGTATCCTTTTCTTCAATCTGTTGGTACTTATTGTTTCCCCTAAGTCTTTCTGAAGAGAAAATGTAGCATCTTTGCAGTTACTTCTATGTCTGACTTCAGTGCCTCAGTTGGTATGTAGTATTATCCTGCCGTTTTTTCCACTCTAAACTTTTCTGATGGCCATGTTGATTCCTTCGATCTCTGGTTGGACGACATCTATAGGAAGGTCTGTATGTGCTTCAATATTCACTGATTGGAGTGAGAACATTTTGGTATCTTGTTACTGTGTTCCCATGAGCTGTTTGAGAAATTTTAAACCTGTGTTTACAAAGTTGATTGGTTCTTTTTGTAGTGGTGTTTTTAAGCAATAATTAGTTTTATTGAAATGATTTGTCAAAGCTTCTTCAACTAAACGTATATCAGTGGATTTACAGACAATATTTTTATCTACAAAACAATCTGTTTCACTTGTCGATAGTTGTTTTGTCATAGATTTATGAATGTACTTTAAGTAGTGGATGTTGGGTATATTTTTAACTTTATTATCATTATTCATGGAAGCTGTAACAGAATGATCATATTCATCTTCAACAAGCTGTAAAGCATTTGCAATATCAATAGCAGTTTGTCTTTTTAACACACATCGATTGTTTGGAAATTCGCTTTCAACATTTTGTTTTATAGCTTCTATGCCATGATTAATAATTAATCCATGATTTAAACTAATCATGTTTTCTAAATGTTGAATAATTTCTGGATTTACTTGAGAATTTTGTTTATATGAAATATTGGGATCTATTTTTTTAAGGAATTAATAACTTCTTCAATGCTTATCCTGGAAAAATGATGTTTTTTCATCTGTTTTAATTATTTTAGTTATCTCCAATAATGTTGTTTTGATTTGATCAAATTCCTGAGGGTTAATTTTAATAGCACTACTATTACGATTGTTATCGTCAATAACGGTATGATGTTTATGAACTGATGAAAATGAATTGTTGCGTGCATACTGAAGTATGTTCAATGTTTTAGTCAATTTCGAACCCAACCAGATATGTAGTACAGGCGGTTTGGCTTCCTTGTCCTTGACTATTTCTATTGATTTACCATATCTTCCCGCTAGCTTCCTCGTTTTATCACATAGTTGTCTCACATTTCCTTCTCTTGCAGCTTTTCCCACCGTTTTTGTTAGGTCTTCCACTTATCAGCACTAATGCTTCTATTCATTCGCTTGTTTGATTTTGTGTATTCGGCCTCTCCTTTGACTTTCTCTGTCCTTGTTCGGCTGTTGTTAATTGCTGTCTTCGTGTTCTTCCTTTTTAGAATCCTGTTCAGGGCATCAATAGAGGTCCATATTGCATGATAGTGTCTCTTGTTCCCCACTACCTCCTGCCACGTTAAAGTTACTGCTTATTTAATTTCTTTCTAGTTGTTCTTCACAATGGTTCTCTCTTATCTGAGTAGATCTTGTTAGGTTTGAAAGGTATTTCTGAGAGCTACCTTGAATACTTTGAGTTTGTCAGTTACTGGAAGAAAGGCTACATTAAACTTTCGGAATGCTGTTTGTCCAGTTTTCCACTGCTATTTTAGCTTCAGTTTTGTCTTGACCTGATGGTCCCGGTAGTGGTCTGAGGCTATATCAGCCCCTCTCTTTGTTCTCACGTCTTTCGTTGGCCTCCTAAACATTTTGTTGATGCGAACGTGACCGGTCTGGTTCTCTGTCAAGTGCTTCAGGGAAACCCATATGTCCTTGTGTATGCGTTTGTGGCGTCATATGGTACCACCTATAATCATTTTGTTGAAGGCGCACAGATTTACAGATCTCTCACTATTCTCGTTTTTTTCTCGCAGTTCATTTTGTCCCATTATATCTCCATACTCGGTTTCGTCCACACAGATCTTGGGGTTCAGGCCTTCCATCAGGATGGTCAAATCCTTTCCTGGGAACTTCTGTACGATCGACTTCAGCCTCTCACAAAACCGGTCTTTATTGTCTACTTTGCTATCATTGATGGGCTCATAGCACTGGATGATATTCATTATAATCCCATCCTTTGTTTTGAAGAACTCTTTGGTGATCCTATTTCCATGAGATTTCCATACTATAAGTGTTTTCATGCTTCTTTGAACAGTGTCTGTTCAACTACTTGTGTTTGCCGGGTATTTTCCTCTTCATAACTAGAGCACATCAGCATCTCTTTCAGAACCACTTTTTCCTGTACAGCTTGCATCTAATGGGTTTCACTTATTCCGAACACCGCCAAGTTGTATCTCATATCTGCAGCTATTTGATTGGTTCTCCCAGTCTCCCACATTGTCCAGACATTCCATGTACCTGTGTTGATTGTTGCTCTGGCTGTTAGAAAAGATACCGGGCTCTTGATTTCCGAAGAATTTCCACTTTCATAACTCATAACTTTTCTAAGTGAGACCCTTCAACTCATAGTACAGAGTTTAAGTGGTTCAAGTTATTTTTCTGACTAGCGTTTTTTAGTGAGGTTGTCTTCAACGGAGTGGGGTTGCTAATTCCATGTTCAGCCCTTATCTGTCCGAGCATGGAGCCAGCCGTAACCCTAGAAGGGCGACACGCAGAGTCGGATACTTCGGGTTTCATCACTATATTTACGATTGGTGTTCGACCACTAGACCACAGCCAAGAATTCATCCCCAAACCTCATACATTAAGATCTAGCACCAAATGTCTGATCCAGTAAACAACTAGTAGCTACTATCAAAAACAGGGCTGATCGAGCATAAAGGGGACTTCAACGGTTAGAGGAGAGACAAAATCATCCGGAGTAGGATATCTACTATCAAAGGGCTGGTTTTTTATTGAAAATGTTCTGACTCAATTCTCCATATTCATCAGCGATCATACTGCACTCAAGTATGACATGGTCATCGTCTAAACGCTGCTACAGAATGAGAAAAACCTATGGTTCTGCTATAGTCACGGAAGCTTCCCAGCAACGATAAAGAGCTTTCAATATTCTCTCTAGTCCCAGTAATGGAAGATTATGTACACTGGACACAGGAATATTGCTCAGATATCATTTACAAAGGAGTTTTAGAAACTATTAAACAGGTTGTCCATAATCAAGATAATTGAATATCATGAATAAAATGATGCGCCGAACGACTGCCTCAAGCATAGGAGAAAGCTTGGAATAGACGGAGGGCTTCATTAAAAGACTCGAACTTTGAATTATATGTAAAATCAAGGGACAAGTGCAGTCTACGGGCAAGGGGGGGGTAATTCTTCCCAACACAAACCTGACTGTGAAGTTGTAGATAGGTACATAGCATCCGTATAGATTGACGTGGCAGAAAAAGAACCACAAACTAGGAGATTTCTTTTGTCACTGAATTTCAAGGCATGACTATCACCAGCCTTGAGACCAGTCTGGCCTTTGATTCGTACTTTGACAAAATTAGAAATCAAGTGCCAAGCCAACGGGTTTGAGCAGATACACCGTGATAATAATGAGGAAGAATATATAGGTAAAACCAGGACAAGCGTTGTAAAGGTTGTTGAAAAGCAGAAGTCTGCAGATTGCGGGGACATACGCTCATTGTACTAAAGTAATTACCCGAATCCTCTTAGTATTCAATAAACGACCTATTTCAATACTCATTTGGCTGTAAGCTGTTGCTATAGAGTAGAGGGCATGTGTATGTACGATATCTGAACCTCGCTGAGGTGTTTGGTACTGTGCTACACTTTATCTAATTGACTGAAATGGTGCGCATAGGCTTCAGGATGCTGAGGGATCTATTAGGATATGGATCTGACCCTGACTACTGGCTACCATATGACGGCATCTTCTAAAGTGGCTCAGTGCCTTGTGGATAAGACCTCCGAGTCCAAGGCTCGGGGTTGGTCTCCTAAGGAAACTACCTGTTGCGGTTTGAGCGCCTAGAATGTATCTTAGCCCATAGAAAATCCAATGATTTTTGATGCTTCTTTGTGCCTGTAACTTTGTTTCAATAAATAAATGACTAGTGAACACTTCAAAACAACAACGACGCAACTGAATTACGTCCGTGAGTGTTTGTCTTCAGCGATTCAGCTACTAATTTGTTTTGTATTGTCATTTTGTTAACTTGAGGCCATTCAAATTAAACGTGTATGTTCTCAAAAGTGTTTGTAGATGAAATTTAAAGGCTTAAGTTAATTGTGTAAAATTAATCACTTACATCTTCCAACTATATTGTAAAACATCAATTTTTAACCACGAACTTGTAGGTTTTAGTAACAAGTAAGCAGGTTAACGCTGAATAATGGGTCAGTTTTTCGTAGTGATAAATTATATTTTAGAAAAATTTAAGTATGGTGTTCTTATCAAATCTAAATTCCCAACAAGATAATAATTAATGGAATTTTTAAGAATTGATCACAATACTACTAAGAGTAGGTGGATTTGTATATAATAAAATTTTCCAATTTTATCACCATATTATATATTGATATATTGCAGATAAATCATGAAATGTCTTATAAAGAATACTGCTCTGGCGCGAGACTGGTAGGTCCTGGGTTCGAATCTCGCGAGGCGAGGTCGTGGATGTGCACTGCTGAGGAGCCCCATAATAGGACGAAACGACCGTCCAGTGCTTCCAGGTTTCCCTTTGTGGTCTAGCTTCAAGTGACTCATGCTTTCAACAATAAAAATACTGATATTACTAATTGATATATCTTTTAATGTAAAACTAATTACACACTTGTATGATACAAAATAATGGAAAGTATTATGAAGTCTGGGAGAGTTTGATTTATATTGATCGGCTCATAGAAATATTTGTATGGTATTCGAATGTGGTATTCTGTTGAAATTCGTGCAGTTAATAACCATTTAATCATCAGCTTTACGGCAAAGTATTTTTACAATATTCGAGGAAATTACTCCATAATACATACGTTTTCGCTTAAATGTGTAAACTGATGATTTGATGAACTTAAATAGTTATTACATGTTTTAAACTGCAACTATTTCACATTCATTAGTACTTAATCAATCTTAGTATCGATTGGCATTTATTTGTCAAGTTTTGATCTTCTGTAAAGCTTGTGTTGCGTACGTACTGTTTATCCTCGTATGTAATAAGTGACTTATTCCGCGTTGGTGAACAACGGAGTTAAATACTTCAAATACGAGAATGGATTTAGAATACATATAATTTCCACGGAACTCGACTGGATACGAAGACGTCATGGGACAACATGGACTGGGAGAAAGGAACGAAAATGGTGAGAGATTTGCAAACCTATGTGCCTCCAATAAACTGGTCATAGGTGGCACCATATTCTCACACAAAAACATACACAAAGCCACTTGGATTTCACCGGATCACACTACACAGAATCAAATCAACCATATCTGTATCAACAAAAAGTTCAGGAGAACGATGGAGGATGTGAGAACCAGAAGAGGAGCTGATATAGCATCCGATCATCATTTGCTGGTCGCCAAGATGAAACTAAAACTCAAGAAGCAGTGGACAATGGTGCGGGCAACATCACAAAAGTTTAATACGGCCTTTCTTCGAGATGCTGACAAACTCAACAAATTCAACATAGCCCTCAGCAACAGGTTCGAGGCCTTTCATGACCTACTCAATGGAGAGGGGACTACCATGGAGAGCAACTGGAAAGGTATCAAGGAGGCAATCGTTTCAACGTGTCAAGAGGTTCTGGGCCAAAAGAAGCACCATCACAAGGAATGGATCACTGTTGGTACACTGGATAAGATTGAAGCAAGGAGGAACAAGAAGGCAGCAATCAATATCAGCCAAACCAGAGCGGAAAAAGCCAAGGCACAAGCCGAATACACAGAGGCAAACAAGCAAGTGAAGAGGAGCATCAGAACCGACAAACGTAAATATGTTGAAGATTTAGCAACGACAGCGGAAAAGGCTGCAAGAGAAGGAAACATGAGACAATTGTATGATACAACAAAGAAACTTGCTGGAAATTACCGTAAGCCAGAAAGACCAGTGAAAAGCAAGGAAGGCAAAGTAATCACCGACATTGAAGAACAACGAAACAGGTGGGTAGAACACTTCAAAGAACTCTTGAATCGACCAGCCCCACTGAACCCACCCAACATCGAAGCAGCACCCACAGACCTCCCAATCGATATTGGCCCACTAACAATTGAAGAGATCAGCATGGCCATTAGACAAGTCAAGAGTGGCAAAGCAGCGGGACCAGACAACATCCCGGCAGAGGCATTGAAAGCAAATGTAACAGCAACTGCCAAGATACTCCACATCCTCTTCAGTAAGATTTGGGACGAAGAACAAGTTCCAACAGACTGGAAAAAAGGACTTCTGATCAAGATACCAAAGAAAGGCGATCTGAGCAAGTGCGACAACTACAGGGGCATCACTCTTCTCTCAATACCAGGAAAAGTCTTCAACTGAGTATTGTTAAACAGGATGAAGGGTTCCGTGGACGCCCAACTTCGAGATCAACAAGCTGGATTTCGTAAGGATAGATCGTGCACAGATCAAATCGCAACTCTACGTATCATTGTGGAACAATCAATCGAATGGAATTCATCACTGTACATCAACTTCATCGACTACGAGAAGGCATTTGATAGCGTGGACAGGACGACACTGTGGAAGCTTCTTCGACACTACGGTGTGCCTGAGAAGATAGTAAATATCATACGGAACTCCTATGATGGACTAAACTGCCAAATCGTCCACGGAGGACAACTCACCGACTCATTCGAGGTAAAGACTGGTGTAAGGCAAGGTTGCTTACTCTCACCGTTTCTCTTTCTCCTGGTGATCGACTGGATCATGAAGACGTCAACGATTGGAGGAAAGCACGGGATACAGTGGACAGGCAGGATGCAACTTGACGATCTAGACTTCGCGGATGTTCTGGCTCTTCTATCACAAACGCAACAACAAATGCAGGAGAAAACGACCAGTGTAGCAGCAGCCTCAGCAGCAGCAGGTCTCAATATAAACAAAGAGAAAAGCAAGACTCTCCGATACAATACAATATGCACCAATCAAATTACACTTGACGGAGAAGCTTTGGAGGATGTGGAAACTTTTACGTAACTGGGCAGCATCATTGATGAACACGGTGGATCAGATGCAGATGTGAGGGCGAGGATCGGCAAAGCAAGAGCAGCATACTTACAACTGAAAAACATCTGGAGCTCAAAACAATTGTCAACCAACACCAAGGTTAGAATTTTCAATACAAATGTCAAGACAGTTCTACTGTATGGGGCGGAGACGTGGAGAAATACGAAAGCCATTATCCAGAAGATACAAGTGTTCATCAACAGCTGTCTACGCAAAATACTTCGGATCCGATGGCCAGACACTATCAGCAATAAGTTACTGTGGGAAAGAACAAACCAGATTCCAGCAGAGGAAGAAATCAGGAAGAAGCGCTGGAAGTGGATTGGGCACACCTTGAGGAAATCAGCTAATTGCGTCACAAGACAAGCCCTCACATGGAATCCTGAAGGTCAACGGAGAAGAGGAAGACCAAAGAACACATTACGCCGAGAAATAGAGACAGACATGAGAAGAATGAACAAGAACTGGATAGAACTAGAAAAGGAAGCCCAGGACAGAGTGGGTTGGAGAAAGCTGGTCGGCGGCCTATGCTCCATTGGGAGTAACAGGCGTAAGTAAGTAAGTAAGTATAATTTCCACACTCATTGGTCTGGCCAGGGAATCAGAGTGATGAAGCCAATAGATGAGAGCGGAACGAAGCAAAAATGACATGCAGTGTAGATGGCTGGGAAGCCAACTCGATTTAAGCAAGCGTTAATCAACATTTATAGTCGGACAAAAATGAGTGACAGACATACGATAAATAAGATACGAAGTGTACACATATATGCTCATATAAAAGTATAGTCAATGTTAATGAGCGAATAATGAACAAGATCAACATATGACTCATGACAGGCGAATTGGCTTGGCCAGTAGCTAGGATAAAGTATATGGGCTTAACATATAAACTGATACTACAAGCTCTTAATCATTGGTTAACTAAGACTGTTTAGCTTGGATTCTGTCGTCTGAGGATTTCAAATTAGTTTGCACTGTTAGATGTAATTGTTCTATGATAGTACATAGATCACGTAATAATAAGCCGTGTTACTAATACTACTAAATGTACTTGTGTTTTTATGAAGTGATTCGTTTGGTGTATTTGTATTATACAAGTAGTGTTACAATTTATTTCCCACTAGTGTTTAGATGCCTAATTTGAACTACGTCTGATTAGTTTAGATATCCTAAGTAAGCAGCTAACAACGTCAATCTTAGTTCAAACTTTATGTTCATCTTGACATTCATTTCCGATGCCGTGAATATTTACGACTACTTAAGGTATCTTAATGTTGAACTGTTGTATACCCTTCGGAACTATGAACCATAATTAAGCTAGTATTGTTTAGAGTAAATTTTTCTACACATTTTGGAATTCTATCGTAAACAAGATAGATTAATGACTTGTGTTCAGTCATATCCATATTATTTTTAGTAATACAAAATTGTGGTAACATGTTCATTATATTGGCAAAATGGTTGTAACCTTCAATTAAGTTAAACTTGGATATTGTTTATCTATTTGATCAATTGCTAGATTCAAACCTTGGTCATATCATTAGAAATTCACCTTAAAATTCTTAAATATAATAAGAATCATAGTGATAAGATTTTCTAAAAATTCAAAACCTGGAAGCACTGGTTGGCCGTTTTGTCCTACCGTGGGATTCCTCAGCAGCGCGCATCCACGACCTCGCCTTGTGAGATTCGAACCCAGGACCTACCAGTCTCGCGCCAGAGCACTTAACCGACAGACCACTGAGCTAGCATCTGATGGTGTTTATGTCTAACTCTAACCAATCTACGAAGTTGAGCAACCTTTCACGAATTATCTTCAGTGAGTCGTGGATGCGCACTAATGAGGAGTCCCACAATAGAACGAAACGGCTGTCCGTTACTTCCAGGTTTTCCCTGGTTCTCTAGCTTCAATTGACTCACGCTTTCAACTATGAAAATACTAAATCACCACAAAACCCCTTCTGATAATAAAAATTCAAAAACTAAAGTACAACACAACTTAGTGCATTCAATTCAATTTTAATTAAAGTTTTGTTAAATTTTAAATGAGCTTTTATTTAGAACATAGTTGTTAACATGTTTCAACAATCAATGACAAATTCATTATGATAATGATGATGATGATGATATTACCTGTTATTCTATTATGAAGAGTACTAAATAAATGATAATCAATTCGTTTAGAACCATACGTTTATTTCAACTGAAGTGTTCGAGACTAAAAATGTAGAAAAAAGAATAAAACAGTGATGGTTCATTCAGCTTGTATATCATAAACTGAGCTGAAAAACAAGGTATATTATTTCATTATTAGTAAACAGCAATATATTATATCTTTATTAGTGAGACATCTTATATTTGTGACAGTTAACTGTTATCTTTGTTTTTAGAGTATAAAAAAATACACCCTTATATGCATCATCCACCTAATAAGTAGACATAAAAATGACCGAAAGTTCTAGGTATGACACAGTGAACATTAAAAACGTTGCGTATAATCTCATCTGGATTTTTCATAAAGAATGAGTTGAATAGACTAAGTAGAATATAACCTATTTTAATCCATTTTTCACTCTTGGAGTTAATTTATTTCAAACACATTCTTAGGTAACTATTGGAAGTGATATTTCTTCAGTCATTTGAACAGTCTGAGAATAAGCTTATCCGCTGATGTACGATCGTGAGAAAGTATTTTTCTTTAAAATCAATATTATGTTCCATTCAGACTGTATGCAATGAAATTTATGTCTTCATAAACATTTATTAGACATTTAAAGTAATAAGTGATGGCTTAATTATGTCGACCAAAATGTAGGTGCATGGATTAGTCAGCTTGACTAGTACCTTATATAAAAATACATACACTCTGGATTTGAATATTAGAGTTGTACATCCCATTAACGTTAAGATGGATCTTTAGTTTTCCATGTGTTTTTCTAGGACTGAAATGATTGTTCTGTCCATTTATCAACGCTTTTTTTACGGAATCCTTATCGCCTGTGATCATATTTTCACTATATTTGATACTATATAACAGTTCAGTCGAGATATCATCAACTAGATCAACCTACGTTTTGGTCCGTTAGTATTTCTACTGATATTTGAATGCTGAATCAAGGGTATGGTTTCTTTTTTTATTTACTTACAAATATTCATTGTTGACAAAGTTCATATTTTCTTTTTCTTGACCTAATCAACGGCAATGAAACTGATTGATGAATTTATACTAACAATTAACAGGAATGAAATGTGCATTTTGCGTTTTATTGCTAACTTATATATTTTTCAAACAAGCCTTTAATTTAAAATTTACTTTTTATTGTTTGTTAGGATCTTCCCATTAATGTTTTTAGGACTGCAACTGGTCAGTCTCTAATTGGCATATGTGCATACTATGCGTATTGCCTCGATATAGACGAGTCCCAAATAGGATGAAACGCGCGTCCTGGATCCCACTACTAGCCACTATCCATCTTTGCTTATCGAGCCTTAGATTTGTTATGATTATCAAATTCATTTTCTACATGTACACCGGATTTTTATTAGAATTAGTAATTGTTATACATAAAAGCTTCAGTCACTTCTCCTTATTACGGTAGTGTTGTAGTGAACAAGACCACGACTGGGGACAATCGAATGCATTTAAACACAAATTACAGATTATCTCACTAAATTCTCATAACCATACAACAAACAGTTAATTTGCAAAATAACAACCAATTGTCTCAACCTTGACTGTTCCTTCTGTAAATATCAGTTCATCCTCTCTAATTTCATTGTTTATGCATTTTCCTACCAATTGTGCTTCATTTAAGTTCTTTCCTTATCCGTCTTGTTCTATGTCTGACCATTACCATATACTACTTATGTGGACATAAGTAGCCCACACCACAGTATAAATTCTTTGAGATGTCAATTTTTATCCATTTCTAGGACATCATACATTGTGTTCTTAATATGCAATTTTTCGTATAAGATTTATAGAGTTTTTTACTGTTTGATAGTATTTGAGTTTAGTACTAAGAAGGGTTTTATTATAATTTATCATCGTTTCTCGAACCATATCGATGTTTCATAAAGTCTATAATTCTGAATTTCTTTGACAGATTACACATCTATCTGACCTGCAATGAACTTTTAAGATGGTTGAAAAAGTTGTTGAACTTATTTTTAAACAGTTGGTAAAACCCGTTTTATGAATAAGTATGCTTAATTAAAATTGAACTCGTAAATGCTTCATTAATATTACTACTTAAGATAATTGGACTGAGTTCATTTTTAAGCATCTGAAGCACTTATATCGAACTCTAGTGTGGGCTAGTCAAGTGTGTTCAACAAAGAATTTTTCACAAATCAGCAGGTCGCCACACTACATTAGTACTGCCCTGTGATGATAGTAAAAATGTCAAAGCAATTGAAATAACAGTAGTATTAATGATAGCATAAGCCTTGACAGGATGCAAATAGTTCTGGATTGAGGAATAAAGAATCTGAATAATAAAACAAAAGATCTAGAGGAACAGTGAAAAAACATTTGTTCTTGCTAGCGGGACATAGATTGGATTAAAGCATGTTCCGTGCACGATTGAGTTGGTGCATGTTGATTGGCTAATTCTTAACCAATCAGCGCTAGTCGATACTTGGAAAACACACTAGAATCTTCTCATGTAAAAACTAAAAATATACTAACGCTTTTCTCATTGTGCTTCTTACTTCCATCTACCCTTGTTATTCCGAATATAATTTCTTCCCTGTTCAACCATGTTCTAATTTGGAAGCTTGTCGAGTGAATTGGTGTACAGGAATACTAAGCAATAGGAATAGATGGGTCGTAATAAGAGAAATTATAATGGTTCCACTAAGACCACATTTTAAACACAGATTAAAGTGGTCAACCGGATCACGACCATGAGGTCTTTAACTCTTAACACAGTATTAATCAACTTGAACAGCAAGGAAAGAATCCGATGGTTCGTTGTATATGGTTGAAACTAATGAAAATAATTTTGTGTTTTATTTCCGTATCAGTGTAGATCACTAATTAACTACAGGTTTATGCACTTGGCTCTGAGTCATACTTCATGTGTTGTGAACTCTCTTATTGTTTTATCATTAAGATCAAAATGAGGTAAACCGAAGTTCGGATCTGCACCTCAGTGATTGAAAAAACTTGCTTAGACCATTAAGTTATGGTTTCTACTTCATTTAAAGAATATTTGAATTCTTTAACGATCAATAACTTTTATCTCTGTCTTGCTCCTTGGTTTAATGTTTCATGAGATAATGATTGTGATCGATGCCGGAAGGTAGGGAAAGAAATAAAAAGACAGTTTTACTGTCAGTTTGTTTCAACAAAAGTAGAAATAACGAGTTTATTTTTTGATTTGTATGATACTTGCAGTATGCATCTCTGAGTCCATTGGAAATTATTGTACTGATGCTACTCTCCAGAAGTTTATATCCATGACTCTTCAGCCAGGTATCAAAGAAAAAACCTTCAGGTCTCTCAGCGAGCGCGACCAATTAAAATATTCTACATCCTAAATGAAATGATTTTGTTTAGATAGACTTTCTAACTAAGAAGAACAAATGCGTTAATCAGAGTCGGGATCAAATGTTTCCTTCCAAATACTGTTAACCGCTAACACGAAAAATAGGATATCAAACGTTTGTTAGGTGTACTGGATTCTTAAAATAACTTGTACAACTGGTCTTTGTAATTTTCCACGTGATCAGTTTTTTTCCGCTTAGAACGACTCAGTTATCTCATTGGTTTGTTAATGTTTTAACATCTCATTCTCTTACCCTATTCTTAATTTACTTACTTAAGCCTGTTACTCCCGATGGAGCATAGGCCGCCGACCAGCTTTCTCCAACCCACTCTGTCCTGGGCTTTCCTTTATACTTCTATCCATTTTTTGTTCATTCTTCTCATTTCTATCTCCATTTCTTGGCGTAATGTGTTCTTTGGTCTTTCTCTTCTCCATTGGCCTTCAGGATTCCATGTGAGGGCTTATCTTGTGACGTAATCGGGTGATTTCCTCAAAGTGTGCCCAATCCACTTCCTGATTTCTTCCTCCGCTGAAATCTGGTTTGTTGTCTCCCACAGTAACTTGTTGCTGATAGTGTCTGGCCATCGAATCCGAAGTATCTTTCGTAGATAACTGTTAATAAACACTTGTATCTTTTGGATAATGGCTTTCGTAGTTCTCCACGTCTTCGTGCCATACAGTAGAACTGTCTTGACATTTGTATTGAAAATTCTAACCTTGGTGTCGGTTGACAATTGTTTTGAGTTCCAGATGTTTTTCAGTTGTAAATATGCTGCTCTTGCTTTGCCGATCTTCGCCCTCACATCTGCATCTGATCCACTGTATTAATCGATGATGCTGCCTAGACATGTAAAGGTTTCCACATCTTCCAAAGCTTCTCCGTCAAGTGTAATCCTATCCTTAAGGGCATCTTAAATATATATCTATACGCGAAAGCTGTACTCTAGATAATATTCTTTCTCCTTGGTGGAATAAATGTTTTAGATAATTTCAAATGTTGTCCTTAGTTAACGGAGAGTACTGTTAATTTAGTTAGACTAATGATCACATTCCAAATTAGCTGATAATGTCTGATCAGTACTGTAGTTAAAATAAAATGACATTCTTTACCATTTTGTGGTCAATATTTATACAGAAAACCATGCAAATAAAGAGTATCATTCATGAATAAATAACATTTATTACTTACCATATCTTTAACTATTCCACTAAGTTGTATTCTATGTTCACGTTTTGCTATTTCAATTTGTTCTAAACTTGCTAATAATTCATCTATACGTGTAATAATTGAAATAAGTGTAGCTTCCATAAAATCAACATTTTGAATTAATTCATAATAGTCTTCAGGATCAACATACTAAATTAATGAATGGATTGAGAAATAAGAAAAATAAGAAACTAATTTATTTGAATATTTAAATTCAATTAGTGTTAATTATCAGAAGGGGTTTTGTGGAGAGCCCTTAACTTCTAGACCACTGAGCAAGCCGGCATCCAACGGTGTTAATGTCTAACTTCAACTGATCCACGAAGTTGAGCAACCATTCACCAATTGTCTTCAGTGAGTTCCTTTCTCACGACAGACGTGGTTTGAACTCCACTGGTCACTGCTTCTCACTAGAGCTCCTAGATATACTTCTCGAAGTCACTAGTGAGCATATGATTATATTAATTATCAGAAGGGGCTCCGGCTCGAGACTGGTGAGTCCTGGGTTCGAATCTCGCGAGTGCGGGTTCGTGGATGCGCACTGCTGAGGAGTCCCATAGTAGTACGAAACGGCCGTCCAGTGTTTCCATGGTGGTCCAGCTTCAATTGACTGACGCTTTCAATTAGTATTGTTTGTTTGAATCTTCAACTCTGAGATGCAGGTACATCCAGTTGACGAGTCCCAAATAGGACGAAACGCGCGTTTTGGATTCCATTGCTAGCCACTATCCATCTTTGCTTTTGAATATTTTGTTTTATTTTTCAAGCTTTTATTAAGTTTTAAGGTAATCATTATCATTTATCCTTCTTATTAAAACAAATATACTTTTTTTTGTTTAGTAATTTCTTTAATGAGGAAAGTTGGACTAATACATAATTAATATCATATCCTGTATTATCGAGTTGTAAATTATTAATCAAATATTATGTGATTATTTATAAACACTCAACTGTGTTACGCCTACTAAGATCCAAAATAAGTACTAATTTCGTTCCACTACCTTAAGCGACAATGCAAACATGTTTGGGATGAAGTTTTCTTCCTTCAAAGGTAAAATGTTACCTCAGAATTGACCTGCATTATCGCTAAACTAGTGATATGGAGTGAAGTTGCTGAACTCACCGGCCACTTCATCTATCTTGAGAGTCCCATCAGTACTGAAGATTTGGTGTATGACGAAATCTCGGCACGGATTCAGAAAGCTCGATTGGCTTTTACCAATTTGGATAACTTGTGAGGCGGGTCAGATATACCCCTCCCAACCAAAGAGGAGGTCTACTGTTCAGCAGTTCGCTCCGTCCTACTTTATGGATGTGAAAAGTGACCATTAAGAACATAGGATATTCGTAGGTTACTAGTATATGATAATAGGTGTCTACGAAGCATTGGTTGTGTATTTTGAAACCACAGAGTGGGCAATGCCTGGGTTGGGAATAGAACATTAGGTAAGGGTGGTAAATCGATTGGTAAGGTAGTAAATATTCATCAACTCAGGTGGTTGGAAAATGTATTACGTGTGCTCATCCACCACGTACCTCGATGGGAGATGTTTTCTGGTGCAGGAGTAGGTTGGAAGAAAGCTAGGGACGGTGAAGTGTAGACTACCTGGTTGGGGTCCGCGTGATAATCGTGACCAGTGGTTAGAGACTTTGAAATACATGACTCAAAATGGTTTGCACTTGCGCAAGTACGTCCATTCTTTGTCCTCCACCAAATTCTGAGATTCTAAATTCCTCATAACTGTTTTTGTTGATGTTTTCTCGAATTGTGTCTTTTATGCCTAAACGTTTCTACTGCTGTTGATACTGTTACTACCTCTACTGTTCTGGGATTTAGCCTTACAATTTCATCTTTTTGTGCTTATGAGGTATGGTAATTTGAGCCGATGTACTTACATACGGATTCCGCTTTGTGACTGACTGACTGACTACTTTCTCTCCAATATTTCTTGAATTTTTAAGTAGATATTATTATAGAGCTGACGTGATGTTGGAAACATTAGGGAATCTTAATTTTTTCTGAAGGTCGAGACTAATTATTTTCTGCCTTATAGATGAACCCATTTTCTTACTAGTAAGACATAGAAATATAACAGGAACTATTTGATAAGTTATTTGCTTCCTAAACTTAATTCTGTCTTGAAGTATTAGTTACAAGCGCCTGTTATGATCATTTTATTGGAGATTATTAACAAGCAACTGTTAATACATTTTTATTAACCTCAATTTATTTATTTATTTAAACACATAAATATTGGTACAAGGAAACACCAAATATATATGCGCCATACAAATCTCTTTCGATTTGTGTGAGGGCTGTCGTACTACCCAGGTGCCCAAACTGAAGCAGGTGGTTTTCTTAGGGGGCCACACCCGGAGCCTTTGACCTGAGTGTCTGATCCACAAGGCAGTGGAGCATCGTGAGGAGATGCAGTCCCATGGTAGCCGGTGGTCAACGGTTGATTCGTACGCCATTTGTTCCCTCAGGATACTGGAGCCCATGTGCACCATTGGTTTGGAATCAGGGTTTTCCAACTCCCCTAGATGGTCTCGCCTTGTCCACCAACCCGGTTAAAGCACCGGACATTCGCTTTTCGTCCTCTCAATTTCGTGAACAACACCCCTGGTGTGAGAAGGCGGTGAGTAGGACTTCCCTGGTAGAGGCTATATATTCGCTGGCCATGTGAGAGCATTTGGAGAGGGAGAGCGGACTCTCCTCACTCTCGGCCGTACCAGAACATTTGGGACAAATTAGTACATTGGTGAAAATGTGACGGCACTCATTTAAATGGTAAAAATATGTTTCCCAACTACCTTTTATCGATCTAATCCAGCCTCTCTATATGTTGTACTGAGCAGGATTATAATATGCCGACTAGGTTAGAGTTCAGTAGTCTAAACACTTTAATTTCATTTGATTCGTTACATAACGAGACTTTTCAATGTTGTTTACAGCAATCAGTTTTTATATATAATTTGACACACTTCGTGTATAATGGCTTCCTATTCGAACATTGAGATATCTGTTTTTAAGTATAATTGGAGACTACGCTAGTAGAAGTTTCTTATGTTTGTTTTCATAATTCATTAAACTCGTTGGCAACTAATGAACTAGTTATACTCACTGAAAAACCGAATTTGTCGTTTAAAAATATTTAACAGATGAACCCATCACGACCGTCACCTCATCACCGTCATTACTACTTTTCATAGCTTAAATATGGGGTTTTGAAGATTGCTGAATGTCTTTGAAATCATAAACCGATCTAAGCTGGATAACCATTGAAAACTCAGAATCGCCAGATGGCTGTTTCGTCCTTGTATGGGACTTTAGCGGCATTCATTCGCAATCCCGCATGTTGGATTCGAACCCAGGGTTCTCTGTTTCGCGCTAACGCTTAACGTCGAGACCAAGGGGTTTGTATTTCACTTTACCCAGTTCACAACACAGGTATGCTTCAGTTCAGTATTAGTTGTCGTGACTTAAGATTAAACTTTTGATTATTTCTATCAGCTTTTCAATGGTCCTTCAACTTATATAAGTTGCATTAGGAAACTTTTTTTAGTATATTCTTCCTGTGAACAGCTGGGTAATGTAACAGAAACGTTAGTATCAGTCAATCGATTTATGTATATGGCATCTGACATTGATTGATGGTTGTGATATTTTGTAGTGGATGTCCAATTGATGGAGACAACTAGTGTGCAATTCAGAAATTAAACCTTGTCATGTCACTGGGTGTCTTTACCTATGAGATTCGTATCATGATAGCATGACTCGGTAAAGATTTCTGAAATAGCACATCATGGTTGCAGCTTTTGCGTGATTCCTAGATATAGTATCACGACTGCTATTTACAGGTTACTAAAAAGCATTAAGTCACTCCTAAACTGTTCGGCTATACTATTTGATAATTGTTTAATACTTAATAGGTTGGTATCTTTAGTTTTGGGCTTCTGTATACGAATAGTATAAGATGAATCTTCACTCAACATCTCATAATTAGATTAAATCTTTTTAAAACTATACTGATCACGTAAATATGAAATTGTTTTCAACCTACATTATCTTCATCTTTAACAGAATTTCCATTGGAATCTTCATCTGTCCCAATCCCTTCATCAACTGGTTCTCCAATTTTATAGATTACCTTGATTTCGAAGTAAAAAGATGAATTCATATGAAATTATGATTAAACAATAAGAAACAATTTTTGAAGAAAAGAAAAGAAGACATTAAGATCATAATGGACTATAATTTCCTTAAGATTAACTGTAGACAGATTTTATTTATTTATTTAAACACATGAATATTGGTACAAGGGGGCACCAGATATATATGCGCCACACAAATCTCATTCGATTTGTGTGAGGGCTGTGATACTGCACAGGTGCCCAAACTGAAGCAGGTGGTTTTCTAAGGGGGCCGCACCCGGAGCCTTTGACCTGAAGGTCTAGTCCACAAGGCAGTGGAGCATCGTAAGGAGATGCGGTCCCATGGTAGCCGGTGACCAACAATTGGTTCATACGCCATTTGTTTCCTCAGGATGCTGTAATCCATGTGCACCATTGGTTTGGAATGAGGGTTTCCCAACTCCCCTAGGTGGACTTTCTGTGTCTACCAACCCGGTAAAAGTGTTGGACATTCGCTTTTCGTTCTCTCAATTTTGTAAACAACACCTTTGATGTGAGAAGCCATTGAGTAGGACTTCCCTGACAGAGGCTATATACGCGTGGCCATGTGAGATCATTTGGAGAGGGAGAGCGGACTCTCCCCACTCTCGTCCGTACCAGGGCATTTGGGGACAGACTTAGTATAGTAATACCATTCATCATAACAAATATTGTTTCATGTTTGTGTCTAATTGTGCGGATGTCAACATATAGTGTTTTATAGCCTCATCAGAAATAATTTACAAGAGTAGATTGTGGAAACATTTTTACAACCTGAAAATAATTATCATCAAATATCGAAATCAACTAGGGAATCACTAAAAAGTGGGAAGAATGGTGAAGTTGTTTTATCTTGATTCGATACCCCACAATCGTAACCATTCACAGTACATATGGTATTGAACCCATGAAATTTAGGTCTCGAAATGATATAATATTGACCTTAGACAATGTCATTGACAGATAAATTGTTTCACTCATTTACACAGTTGACACCATCTGTAAGTTTCTCATTAGAACTTCTGGAAAATCATTCCGAAATCTGTAACTAAATTTGAAAATCCGAATCATTAAATTTCAACTCAGTAGTTCCATATCGCTGTTTTCAACACTGTAATTGAAGGTTATGGGTTTAATCTTGATCGTCGGTGAGTACTGTTGAACATTTTTACTCTTGAACGAAATAATTATCCAATACTCCCTCATTTTCAGTTGTTTGGGATGGAAATCATTAAGTAATTTATAATTCAAGACATTGCATTCCATATAATATGATTATCAAGAATAGCTTTTGATGTAATTCACTGTTGCTAGAATGGATGTCAGTTTAAAGTTATACTTAAAAAAATAATGCTTTTGTAGTCTTGAAGAACTCAAATACAAATATGAATGCATTACTTACATACTAATTAAAGACAATAAGTTAGTATTCCACAATAGTCAGCATTTAACACATATTTTCTATATTTTTATGATAAATTTAATCAAGATACAAATCAATTAGTAAACCTTTAGAAAACAAAGAATCAATGAACTGTTGTATGATACCTTTAAGATGCTAAACAGTAAGGTGCTTCTAAGATTGTGGATCTTATTTGTATTATAATTTTAGAGTTCATTTTCTTTACATATGACTAAATTTCACTTTGATTTAATTATCAACCTATTGAATACCGGTAAAATCTCTGTAAAGGACTTTAAGTATTCTAATGCTTATTTCCACTTAACTGCGTCACAAGACAAGCCATCACATGGAATCCTGAAGGCCAATGGAGAAGAGGAAGACCAAAGAACACATTACATCAAGAAATGGAGACAGACATGAGAAGAATGAACAACAATTGGATAGAACTAGAAAGGAAGGGTTGTAGAATGCTGGTTGGCGGCCTATGATCCATTGGAAGCAACAGGCGTAAGTAAATAATTAACGCTTATTTCAGTACACTTGAATTGTAGTAATAGAAAATCTCTTTGAATGTTTAGTCTCTAACAAGAAAATGAACTAATAAATTATAATGATAATTACATTCGTACTTACACCCAAATCAATTTCATAGGCTAATTGTTGTTGTTCTGTTAGATTTAAATTATTATCACCATCTTCATCATATTTCATAAATGTTGTAAAAATTTCTGGTTCACTATATCCATGACTTTATTGATTTATTGGTACGATAATGAAAAAAAAAAGAAAGAATGAAAAAGTACAATATTCAATTTGAATAAACTTTAAAGACTTAACTACCATTTAAACAATCTTTCGGAGTATTGGAAGAATTACAATTTCCGGAAAATGTTTATTTCTTAGATCATACTTGATAAAGTATGAGGTAACAAATAAATAAATTTAAGAAGGGGTTTTGTGGAGATCTAGTATGTTTCATAGTGGAAAGCGTGAGTCAATTGAAGCTAGACCACCATGGAAAACCTGGAAGCACTGGACGGCCGTTTCGTCCTATTGTGGAACTCCTCAGTAGTGCGCATCCATGACCCCGCCTCGCGAGATTCGAACCTAGGTTTTTCCTGGTGGTCTAGCTTCAATTGACTCACGCTTTCAATTATGAAAATATATTTGACCAGATTTAATAATAACTACGTTTTGACTTCTTTTATTATTCAGTTTATTATTATTCATTATTATTCAGTTTAAATTGTATTGAAATAATCTGTCGTTCAGTTTCGAGATATGATTGAGTAAACTAAATTAAACTCCATCCCAATTCTCGTCAAGCTACAGAACTATTAAAAGACTGCAGTTTCCCTGTGACTAAAGAAATACTGTGCAGAAAATAAACATCTCTTTGTACACACAAATATAAAGATGGCTGAATAGTCTATTCTGATGGATTAAACTAAACAGCTAATTGTCAAATAAGACTATTCCTATAATGTAGCAGGATAAATCAATAAATGAAATAGATAAACTTTCATTTAACTGGTCAAGGTCTAAAATATTGAATTCTGATTTAACCACTTCCTATTAGTAAAGTTTTTGATAACAATTCTAGTTTAGAAATATGTACTTAGGTAGGTAGCGTTGATCGTTTACTAAACTGATTTCATCTGTTACATTCGGTACCTTAGTGAGAAGTTTGTTCTATTTTGGAAGTCCAATAAGATCTTGTCACAAACATAATACTTGATTACTGATCCAAATGATAGGAAGATATCAGTCTGAGTTGAATTTGGTAGTTATAGTAATGCTTTGTATTTCACTTCAATGCTTTAAATCTGGATGTTGTGATTAAATCTTCAAGCTCTATTCTATCACAACAGCTAAAAGACCATACAATTGACAGAATTATACAGAATTCTAGCGTAATTTCTTTGAAATTGTTTTATCTTCTATTTACAATACTCATTATTGCTGAATCGTAATGATGATAACAGAATGTTTCCTATACTTTTATCCCTTCAGAAATCATCAATTTCATTGATGAAACAAGATAATACAATCGAAATTACAGTTATTATATTAAGTTTATGGAGCTGAGATCATGAGTCAATTGAAGCTAGACCACCAAGGAAAACCTGGAAGCACTGGACTGCCGTTTCGTTTTTATTGTGGGACTCCTTAGCAGTGTGCATCCACGATCCCGCCTTGTAAGATTCGAACCCAGGACCTACCAGTTTCACGCTTCAATTGACTCATGATCTCAACTGTATAAAATTACTAAAATATCCACCAAACCCCTTCTGATATATTAACTTTACCAAATAATATTAAACAAAGAAACAAAAACTGAACAGTTAATCATTAACTAATTAATTTTTGTTTTTATGATGTTACCTTTTTAATGCTTTACGATAATCTTCATACGGTAAATTTTCTTTACCCATTAATCCATATTCTCGTAATATACGAACAATCGATTTAGATCGTTTCTTTTGAACTCTTTTAGCTAAATCTTTAGCTTTCTAATAATCAATAAAAAAAAATAAATTCTGACAAAAAATCAATTTATACAAACAAAAGTAAATTAATCAGTAAGGACGGGTTTACTGTGCAACAGTCCGTTCCGTCATACTTCATGGCAGTGAAACATGGCCAATAAGAGTAGAGTATATTCGTAGGCTACTAGTATTCGACCATAGGTGTCTTCGAAGCATTGCTCGTATATCCTGGGACCACCGGGTAAGTAATGCAGTAGTTAGGAAACGGGTACTAGGTAAGAATGACAAATCAATTGGCGAAGTAGTGAAACTTCATCAGTTGAGATGGCTGGGACATGTGTTACGTATGCCCAACCACCGACTGCCCCGACTTGCAATATTTTATGGTGTAAGAGTAGGTTGGAAGAAAGCTAGGGGCGGCCAGACCAAAACGTGGCACAAATCCATGAAGTCACTGATAAGTGGACTGAGCCATGTTGGTAGGTGTAGATTATCTGGTTGAGATCTGCAAGGTGATGACAACCAATGGTTAGAGACCTTGAATGACATGGCTCAAAATCGTTTGCAATGGCGAAGGTGCATCCACTTTTTGTGTTCTGTCAAATTCTAATCTTCTGAATTCTTCATGCCTCTATCCTTTTCCAGATTTATTTCACTGGATTATACTCCTTCAATAACATCTTCAAACCCTAATCTTTCACATTAATGCTTATACTCTTACTACTTCTACCACTATGGGATTTGAATCGACAACTACATCTCTGTGTTAATGTGGTATGGCGACTCGAACTGATGTATGTATGTACGAAGTTCTATACTGTGACTGACTGAAATTAATCAGTTATGTTTGAAAAATAAATCATTTTTTCTAGAGATGCATTTTAGAACTTACTTTATGAATAAAATAATTAATTTACTAAAAGAATCTTTTAAAACATGTTTATTTCCAAGGATACTCAATTCAGATTAACATCTTTGGTTTTAAAAAGATTAAGGATATTGATCCTTAGATATTTTACTCTGAGATGATTGTGAACTCATTCACAACAAGTATTTAAGTATTTTTTTTTTTTAGGGAGTCAATCTCTTCTTATTTTAAAGTAAACACAAAGAAATAAGTTTAACAGAATACGTGATAGAACATACCAATGACATTTCAACTAATTGATTAAATTTGTTGATTGGCATCAGTGATAAAGGTACAAGTTAGATGTTTACGTTTTTAGTTCAGCATTAAAGATACATTCATTAATTTTCTGTAAATATGAGATTTTTTGTTAACTGAGGCACAATTTTTCATTTCTGATTTTATATTCCTACTTTATTCAATTTATCAGTATTAATTACTAGTAAATTGTTTTGAAAATTATATTTAATTCTATTATTGTTTAATTTTGTATTTGTTATGTTCCGATAATAATAGGGAATGGTAACTTTGGGATCCATTTATGGACCAATATGATATTTATATTTCCTATTGTATAATTGCTAAATAACTAAACTATTCATATTCATGTTCCCATTTTTATAAGCTTTATTTTGTCCTATAGACTATTATTATAAGATTTACCATTCTTGAGTTATCCCTAGTCTATTAATTACTATTTCCCCTATTCACAGCCACATTTGGCTAAATCATGTACAAATGTTATTTTCTATTTTATTGGTACGATGTGGTCAGTTTTATTGGTATGTAAACTCAGTATGTTTGAAATATAATGATTCACATTGCAGAGGCTGTCATTAGTGTTCTGGACTTAACTGGCTGGGCTAGGCAGCAAGCAAGACCGACACGTACTCTCGACTGCTTGTACGGTTTCCGTGTGTCACTGTTCGCTGCTCTCTGATTGGCGGTCTTATCATGTCATACATTAACTGGGCATCCACTTAGCCACAAGTTATAACAGTATTATATCACATTAAATTACATCCAATCATTCACATTTATATTGCATTATTACATAATTAAAAAAAGAAATTAATTAATAATTTTCCTTTTACTTTTTTAAGTATATGACCCAATGTTACATCGTTTTTCTGTTGAATTAATTCAGCTTTTGTTGTTTTGTACGATTCATCAATAATAGCCAGAAACATATTTAATAATACAAAAAATACAAAGAAAACAAAAGTCACAAAAAATATCGGTCCTAAAACAGGATGAGCTTTGAGAATTGATGGAAAGTCAATATCACCAACCATGATACGAAATAATGAATAACTGAAAGAAACAAATACAGTGATATATATTAGTTTAATGATAGAAATAAAGTTTAAAATAAAAATAAAAAAAGATTTTACATAACCAGCCCCCAAATGTCTTGGTACGGACGAGAGTGAGGAGAGTCCGCTCTCCCTCTCCAAATGCTCTCACATGGTCACGTGTATATAGCCTCTTCCAGGAAAGTTCTACTCACTACCTTCTCACACCAGCGGTGTTGTTTACGAAATTGAGAGAACGAATAGCAAATGTCCGGTGCTTTAACCGGGTTGGTGGACACTGTGAATCCATCTAGGGGAGTTGGAAAACCCTGATTCCAAACCAATGGTGCACATGGGCTCCAGTATCCTGAAGGAACAAATGGCGTATGAATCAATCGCTGGTCACCGGCTACCATGGGACTGCATTTCCTCACGATGCTCCACTGCCTTGTGGACTAGACCTTCAGGTCAAAGGCTCTGGGTGTGGTCCCCTAAGAAAACCACCTGCTTCAGTTTGGTGGGTTGTTTTTTGGAGAAATTTCGGCACTCATTCAAAAAGCTTGTTAGCGTTCACTAACTTGCGTCACTTGTGGAGTAGGCAAGATGTCCGTTCGCTAACCAAACGGAGCGTGTACGGAGCAGCAGTCTTCTTCGTATTAATTTGCAGTTGTGAAACATGGTCCTTCCAATTAGAAAACTTGCGTAAACTACAGGGTTTTGATGATTAAAGTTTTCCAAATGTTGCCTGTCTATGATGGGACAACAAAGGGATCAATAGTGAGGTTAGGCTTGAGATACTAGCAAAAGATGACAAATTGGTTGATGAAGTTGTATGCCTTCATAGACTGAGATGGTAAAGACATGTTTTATGTCTACTTAACCACCATCTAAATCGACGTAAGTCACCTACTTATGTGAAAATAAGTTAAAAGAGGGCTAGTCGCGGTCAAACGAATATTTGATATTGGATCATGAAGTTATTGGTTAGTGGTCTAAGTGATATTGGTAAACTCAGACTATTTGGTTGGAATGCTCGTTATAACTTGGACCAGTGGTTGAAAACTTTGAACGGGATGACTCAGAATCATTAACAATCACACAGATGCATTCACTCTACATTAAATTTCAGTATTCCTTCGTGCATACTTTTTTACTATACCTTTTACAACAATAATCCCAATATTTACTAATACACCTTACTACAATGTTATTTAGATTAGTTTGCCTTTTGTCTTGTTATTATCATCTTGTCGTGCTAGTATGGTATGGCAATTTTGGTTAACTCATATGTACGACAAACTCTATGTTAATAATGATGTTTCTTTGTTCGTCTTTCAAGAGTGCGCACCAACTACCTCACATGGGATTAAAATTCAGGATATTTAGGACAGCTGATGAGTATGATGCTTTATATTTATTGAGCTGGAATCTGACGGCTCTCATTCTCAAATTTAGTCAGTTTATGATGTAACGCTAGTTTTGTTCATTGTAGATCATGAACAGATTCTGCAAAAGAACGGAATAGACATCCAGTCCTCCTTTGGTTCTTTTTTATTCATCAGCCCGTAGTGTTTTATGATAAAAATAATAAATGAAGAAATAGGCGGTCACGAGGTAAGAAAGTTAAAATAAGTTCATCGGATAGTCAGGCATTATTTTAATTGAATAAATTTCTGAAATATACGTAGAGAAAAAAATCACTACAATTGTATCGGTTAGTATAACAACTATATGGGATAATTTTAATACTTGAAAATACTATCATTGATGAACTTTTAAAATTCTGAGTAAATCAAATTTTTTGTAAAAAGCTTTTGAGTTGATTAACTATCCCATATTACAATTAAATATCATAACTGAATTCATGAGTCGAATAAAGTTATACCACTATGGAAATCCTGGAAGCATTGAACGGCTGTTTCATCCCCTTATGGGACTCCTCTATGAATGGTCTAGCTTTAATTAATTCATGAATTCAACTATTAAATTACTACAATCATTGTTCACAAAACTAAAATCTCTATCTCATTTATTTTATAAATGATTATTTACTTAGACTAAATGATATGTTTCATGATGTAATGAAGTGATTATTTCCAGAAAATAGAATCAATGGTTAATATATTCATTATTTTGTATTTCACGTAATGAAGACTAAATTCATTCAATGAAGATTCAATCTATATGCAACAAATTTATTCGAATCTCTAAAGACAATCTGTGAATAGTAACAAAATATGAAAGAACTCTCAAAATTATATATGTTTAAGACTGTTCATTGAAATCATCGGTAGACCTCGAATAAACAGTTTTTATTTTATGGTAGTATTGTTTGAATATTCTAAATATGAACATCACATCATAGAGAAGTTTTGTCAAATTTTATGGATTCCATTTAAATAACATTACCATTATTATCATTATACAGTGTTCATGTAAGGATGACTCATTGGCAAACTCAAGGAAGCCTCAAGAAGCCCAAGAAGAACCGAAGACATTCCATCCAATCACCACTAGGGGAACATTCTATAATGTTGACGTGTAGCTTCCCTATTTGATGGATAAGAATGAACTCCTATGTACCTATTGACTATACGAAATGATGATTTACTTTCAGCCAAAAAACTATTAATACATGAGATTTTTGTACCATATTTTGACACTGTTTTGGGGAATAAAATCCCTACTTACTAGTCTTTTGTCTTCTCTCTTGCGACGTTGCGGGTTCGATCGTTCAAGTAGTCTAGTAGTAGGCGGTTTAGGAAGAATCAAAGCTCTAGATATAACAGTTAATTGTTTTTTATTTGCCATGAGAACTTAATATAAGATCAGTATTCATATTTAAATGAGAACATTAAGGTATATTTCAGAATAAGTCAGTTACAAATGTGCCTTATTAATGAGTGCTAACGAAAATACGATTTATAATGTTTTCTGTCAATCCCTTTTAGCCAATCAGACACTAAAGTGAGACTATAATTTATGGACGACCTTTGAGCAACGCTCAAGTGACCTTGAGGGTGTCTACTTACTAACTACGACTAAATGTGAGGAATTAGAATTATGATGTACGGTTAATGTTCAGCGTTAGAAACTAGATTTAGTGTATTCATCACGAACTGACATTAGATAAAATAACAAAACGCTATTTAGCCAAATAGATAAATGAATTTCGTTCCAAAATCTTATATCTGATTGGTATGTCCATAAATTAAAGTCTCGTCAACACTAAGAAATCCATTATATATTCGATCTACATAACTTAATGGTTACATTCTATCTGAATTAATAGAAACCGATAGGTATATTCGATATATAGTGATATAACAGTGATCATTTAGTAAAGTTTTGATGTTTATAGATTATGTAATAAATCAATTACAGTTTTATTGCAATTCATAACTCTATTAGAATAATAATAATAATGGTACTTACGTTGTTTGAGTAAATGAACTATATGCTAATGTTCTAGCACTAAATGCTAAATAACCCAATTGAGCAAATGCAAAATATACAATACAAAACATAATTAAGAATCCCAATAAATCATAAGCAGCTATACTCATTGTTCTTGTTAATTGATTTAATGAACGATCAATTGTTAAATATTTAAAAATCTGTTTCGGTGTTGTTGTTTTTTTCGAAAGAAAAGGAGAAAGATTCAGAAAAAAGATTATTTATAGAGTTAAAGAAAAGTTTATTTATATTTATTTAATAAAAAAATAGCTAATATATTATTCATGTATTATTATCATAAGGGGTTTTGTGGAGATTTAGTATGTTTCATAGTTGAAAGCGTGAATCAATTGAAGCTAGACCACCATGGAAAACCTGGAAGCACTGGACGGCCGTTTCGTCCTATTATTGGACTTCTCAGCAGTGCATATCCACGATCCCACACTCACGAGAGTCGAACACAGGACCTACCAGTCTCGCACCAGAGCACTTAACCGATAGACCACTGAGCCGGCATTCAACGGTGTTAATGTCTAACTTCAATTTCGTGAATTCATGTATGTTTCTAACTATTTATCTTGAAAAAAAGGTTTTTCAAAATTAATGTACATTATCAAACTTATCGATTTTCTGACGTTTCGTCACTCGATGTAAGCCACGTCTTCAGAGAATAAATAACCAAATTAACATTTATCCAAGTTTAGATGGTACAACGGTACAACATGAATATTAGGTGCGATCGCACCTAATTTGGTAATTTGGTTATTTATTCTCTGAAGAAATGTCTTATACTAAGTCACGAAACGTTAGAAAATCTAATTTTTCTACTCATTGGGATCTTACAAATATATTAGTTTATTTATGACAATCTACCCAATGCTCAATTTATTCAAAGTTATCAAACCAATACTTGGTAATGATACCTACAAACCTACCGATTGAAAAAAATTATAGTCTCATTTTGTATAGTAGTGTTATATTCTAGCGAAGATATAAGTACGGGTAACTTCCAGGACCTATTAATCGACGATTATTCTATATATATTCTTATTGTTTAACTATTGAGTAACTAGATTGTGTATTTTCATATTCATCTTGTTATAAGCTTCATTTTGACCTGTTGATTATTACTGTACGATTTACTGTTCCCAAATTATGTTTCGTTAATTGATTATTGCCTCCTACGTTTACAGCCACATTTGGCTTGATCTTGTACAAATATTATTTTCTATTTTATGGTGTGATGCGGTCTGTTTGTCTGGTATATAAACCAAGTATGCTTGAAATAAATGATTCGCATAGTGAAGCTGTTATTGGTGTTCTGGACTCAACTGGAAGGGCTAGGCGGATAAAGGACCAATAAGGACGCTCGACTGCTCATACCGGTCGAGCGTCATTGTTTTGGCACAGTGCTAAGATTGGATAAGTCATATTCCGATTGGTGGTTAAATCACGTGATAAAAGTCGGACATAAAATCAATAACAAATTAGCATACGTCCTATTTCTTTATAAAGTCATAACAAATAGTAATATCTTCACAATTATCTTCAATTATCTGAAATCGAAAAAGTCTGTCAAAAAAATAAAGTTACTGGTTATAGGGGTTAAGTGAAGAGTTAATTGATGCAATTTGATAAAAACTGAAAGATAGATCAACATTTTACTGATTACTGCTATAAGTGATAAATTGATATAAATATCTTAGTGCTATGAGAGGTCTGTTAGGGATCCGAATTACTCTATTGTAATCTCTTTAACTTTGAAACTGGAAAGTTTAGCTTTATACTTCTCATAGAGCGTCAGTTCTTTCATGTTTGTAAATATATTCTACTATGACAAGTGCGAACTAGTATGAATCGTAGTTACAGGTGTACAAATAGAAACACACTGTAATATTGAATCACTGAGACTAGTGGTTATGTTACAACCTGAATGACAGTGTTCAATCATTACAGAAGATCTGATAATATGAAATCGATGTTTAATTATTGGTAGATCGCTATAAAAGTTTAACGACGACACAAACTGATTATCTACAAGAACCTTAGGTAGCAATCAATGATTTATTTTTGATTTACATGGATTTTTAAACCAACGTATGATTTTGAGATCCCGAATATTTACATCTCGGTAGGAGAATTACGCAAGTGTTGTTTTCTTTGAGCTTCACAATGTCATTGTGAAGCTTTGATCTATTTTTCAGACAATATCATCAAAATCTACTATGAAGCATGTTATAACGTGTGAACTCGTAATATATATATATATATATATATATATATATATATATATATATATATATATATATAAACGTGCAATTAGACAGGAGTGAATTTATTGATCGGACGCAAATGATACATAAAATCGTACGAGCAGTCTTGTTTGCGTATCGGCCCTGCTACTCTGCCTAGCCCAGCCAGTTGAGTCCAGAACACAAATAGCAGCCTCGGCAATATGAATCATTATTTACAAACATACTGGGTTTTTATACAAACCAAAGTAATCAATAAACTGAGTATAACTCAAGAATCGTATGATAATAAATCAAAGATCAAAATAAAGCTAATGATAAGAGAAATACGAATATGAATAGTTTAGTTACGTAACAATTGTACAATAGGAAATAGGCATAATACATTGGTCGATAATAGACCTCAGATTTACCATTCATAATTCACCAGGGGATATAACAAAGCAATTCAAGTAAATATTTCTTGTACATAACAAGTTTAACCTTTAACTTTAACGTGTTACTAATTAACTGAAATACAATGGAATACATTTAAACTATGATTTCGACAATTTCGTCTTAATACGTCTCACCCAACTGCGTCACAAGACAAGCCCTCACATGGAATCCTGAAGGTCAAAGGAGAAGAGGAAGACCAAAGAACACATTACATCGAGAAATGGAGACAGACATGAGAAGCATGAACAACAATTGGATAGAATTAGAAAGGAAGGCCCAGGACAGAGTGGGTTGGAGAATGCTGGTTGGCGGCCTATGCTCCATTGGGAGTAACAAGCGTAAGTACGTCTCAATACATTAAATTATGCATCATTGAATCAAATCAATAAACAAAAATGATCTATTCACTAAACCAAATTATTTTTAATAAAACAAAAAGTAACTAACCTTGATTATTCCAAGAAATACACAAATTGCCATCGATCTTATATGATGACTATACCAATAAGCAAGATAATCGAAATTTGGATAAGATGAGATATCATTAATTAATGCGGACATATTATTTGATACAATAATGGTACTGTATATTAAAAAACCTGCACATATTATACTGGCTACAACCATTGCAATATCCATTAAATTCCAAATATTTATAAAATATCTCCAACGTTTAACTGATAACTAATAAGGAATAATTATAAACGAAAGAAAGTGTGGTAAAAAACAATCTTCACCTAATACTTATTGATAATTTATAATATTGCTTGTCAAACACTGAAGTATTTGAAAAAAGACCCACTCTTTGAGATAAGATGGTGGTTGGAGGTGGTTAACAGGAAACCCTGAACCCATGTTTCGTGCTACTTGGCACTCGTCAGCGAGGTGTACCTGTAATCTTGAGGGAACTGGTGCTCCCTAACGGATTCGATCCCACATCACCCAGCTTCACATTCAGAGACGGTACCATTGAGCTATTCGGGCCGCAACCGACATCCTGTAGGACTGAGATGCAATCACAATTGATTGATCACTGGGTGATGACTTGACGCGCATGACATTGATCACCACCTAGTGATCAATCAATTGTGAGACCCACTATTTATAAGCTTCTAAACCAGTTCGGTTTTTTGTTCACTAATGTTAACGAACTGTTTAGTATTAGATTTCCAGACAACCACAAGGAATCAAGCTTAAATATTTTGTATACCACAATGTACAGTTTGAGCACTAAGTCAGAAATAAATGGTTCACATTTTCTAACTTCATGCAGTTCGTAATTCATCACGATTATCGTTATATACCATTGACGACCGATTACAACATTTCATAATTAACCGATTTAACAGGTCATCGCTTTATGTTGAAAATTGTATACAGTTCATTCCGAAGTAAGCCATTAGTGAGTAGATATAATAAAATAAGAGGCAAAGATAATCCATTGAACTCAACGGAACCGACAAGAATAAATCAATGTAAAGTTGAAACCAAAATATGAGAAATCTTCTACTCAATAAATTTGATGAATCTTAGAAAAAAACTAATGAGGTAAATGAGTCCTTACTCATAATTATGACGGTAGGGTTCTTTAAAAATATGAAAATATAATATTCACTAATGATTTGTTACTAGACAGATATCCGAAAATTTTAGAAGCGGACTGTAAAAGTTCATCAAACTGAAATTGAGGTAGTTACTAATGAAAAACATTAAATGACAGTTACCTTATAACAAAAATTGTTTGTATTGAAAAAAAGTGATAGAGAATAAATCGTATCATGTCAGTTGTGGTTTCTAAAACTCGTGCGTTTACTGTCACGAATGGTTAGGAGTTACCAGTAATTTGGAGTTCATAAATAACAAGAAAATGTTTTCCAATGCTTTCCAGCATACAGTCTTGATAAAAACTGTAATGGATTCTATATGCTGGTATTCTGCAACTAAGACGTTTTTCATAAGATGGGTTAAAAATAAATGTTAACGTCTTCTAGGCTTGATTAGAATAAGAGAAGTCTTTGAAATCTGAGCGTTCAGGATGCAGGGACAAGACAAATATAAATAGTAATAAATATCGTTAGAACTCATTTCTACACAGTTTTTAATTTAATTTCAAACAGATAATCTGTTAGATTATAAAGACTACTGCTAACGTAATCTACAATTATAGCAGTTTCAGGAGTCAGAGTGAAGTGATTAGCCTAAGGATCTGAAATCTCAATAAATTTTGGATTTCGATATCTGGTGAATATATAATTTAAACTATCTAGTACAAATCTCTGGTATTACTCTTTAGATTATAATACATATTACGGAGGTTATTTTCTATCAATGTCAAGTAATAAATATTTAACAGGCAACTTATTCCATGTTACCAGATATAATGATCACCTAATGTAAATTTGTTTACTAAATGTGCTGATTTGTATTATTCCACCTGAATGCAAATATGTAAGAAAGAGATAATGAATTTCACTATTCACAGTGATTACCTAGCTTCTAAGATTTAAGGAACTTGTTTTTGGCTTGTATACCTTATGTAAAGTGACCCAGAAGGAACTAGACTAATTTATCAGTAGTCTATCAGTCTTCTGATTGCATTCAATTACTGAATAAACTAAAATACAATCAACCAGTCAAACATCTGAAGAGACTCAAGTAGAAGGATACGCGCTTTTTTATCCCACTGCTAATCACATTCTATCTATTCTGTATCAATGATCAACCACAGTTATCAGTAAACTGACTTATTGATTCATAAATTTGGTTAGGATCTAGTCATTTATTCTCACTTACCCATCTACCCTAAAAGTAACAGTTGTTTATTCAGATTTACAACTCAGTAAAAAAATAACATTGAATATGTATCTAAATATATGGGATTATACTATAAAATACTGAAATTTACTTCAAGAACTTAACACCTTAATTAGAATTGCTTTAGGATATCCTTACATTTTAACTCTATGAATGAGTAAACAAGAAATTATTCCTTTTCTTTGTAAACATATTCAACAATAAATGAAACATACTGTTGAAATCTGTATTACACATGGGACTGTGAACCGTATTTATTTTTAATGGGAACGAATAATTTTCCAAATTAATTCATCCATCTATGAGACCTAAAAGTTTTAGTATTGATTCCTTTTCGAGTAAAGTGTGATCACTCTAGAGGAGTCCCAAATCAGAATAAAAAGCTTCCCGGGGTTCTTTAATTTTTCATGGCTCTCAAATGATATAATTTTGTGGTGAAAATTGAAAATAGATAATCTTCATAAGCTTACATGACTACTGAAGAATCAATTATATAAGTGAACTAGGTATTACAGAATAAATTGGATTATTTTTCCATCATATCAGGAATGGAGATTACTGAATTACAGCTTAATAGTCTGAGTTATCAAACAATAATTAGATTACTTGGATTTGATTCCTGATGATGAGTTAGGTGTGCACTTGCTAAGGAATTTCAAACAAGATTGAAAAAGGTGGCTAGTATGTCCTGACTTTTTGTAGATCTATCTTAAAGCTATCTTAAAGCTGTTAGATATTTCAATATGATTTCACTAACTGTATTGTAAAATTTGTAACTTTAAAACTAAAATAATAAATAATTTAAACTAGGCGTAAAATATACAAGATAAATTAATTCTGTATATTTACCTCAAGTATCTCTTCAATAACATAATAGGCAAGAAACACCAAATACACAATTTCACATACTAAAACAAAGTAATCAGTTACTGTTTGATAACGAAACAATCGGACTGGTTGAACTACAGTGCTACCAAATAGTCCACCTGATTCAGGCATTTCAAATATGATTCTATAATAATATTTTAGGAAAAAAATGTACAGATATTTTTAATTTACAATTATTTTACATATTGACAATAAAAAAACGATACATTCTATTCATATTACTGATAATTAAACTGGCCGGGGACAGATTCCATGTTGCCAAGTCATCTCAGGGTATCGTAGTCACCAATTATCTTTATGGTTTCGTTTATTTAGTCACTCATTTTATTATTATATTTTATTTAAACATATAAATATTGGTACAAGGAAAGCATCAAATAAATATGCGCCACACAAATCTCATTTGATTTGTGTGAGGGCTGAGATACTGCCCAGGTGCCCAGACTGAAGCAGGTGGTTTTCTTAGGGGGCCACACCCAGAGCCTTTGACCTAAAGGTCTAGTCCACAAGGCAGTGGAGCATCGTAAGACGATGCAGTCCCATGGTAGCCGGTGACCAACGGTTGGTTCTTACGCCATTTGTTCCTTCAGGATACTGGAGCCCATGTGCACCATTGGTTTGCAATCAGGGTTTCCCAACTCCCCTAGGTGGACCCTCCACATCCACCAACCCGGTTAAAGCACCGGACATTCGCTTTTCGTCCTCTCACTTTCGTAAACAACACCCGTGTTACGAGAAGGCATTGAGTAGAACTTCCCTGGTAGAGGCTATATATTCGCTGGCCATATGAGAGCATTTCGAGAGGGAGAGCGGACTCTCCCCACTCTCGGCCGTACCAGGGCATTTGGGGGCAAAAAACAACAACTAGATATAATGGTTTCTTTTTTAATTTACCTAAGATTTAAATCATTGATTGCTCTTATATAAATGGTGTCTGATCGTTAATAAAATATAGTAGAAAGCTTAATCCATAACTCAAGAAAGCAATGTTATAATTTCACTTACGATTAAATTAAGTGTCCTGAAGTCTATCTATAAATGATGATGTTGTAGTCTGGTGTTTTTTTATCTCTCCATTTTATTTTATTAAATCTTAACGTTAGTTTCTTATTATGTAATGAAAGGAATTCAATGAGATGCATTATTTCTATTTTCATTGTTATTGTCATTAGTCAGTTACAACGTAGGACATTTCGAGAGAGAGAGAGTGGACTCTCCCCACTCTCGGTCGTACCAGGGTATTTGGGGTCACTCAGTTGTAGATATTTTGGAATTATTTCTATTATAGAACGGACTGGAGGTATGACTTGCTGTTTTAATTTTTCCTTTACCATGACTGACTGCACTAAACTTGAAATGTATGTACCATGATGGAGTAGTAATTTCATCTTAGAAAACACTTTTCACGTTAGCAAGCAAAATCGACAGAGAACAAAACAAGCCCTCCATCATGGGCTACGATTATGCAAATAATAATTCCCACTTCATTTTGTTTGGTTTCATGTTGTAACGTCGAAGTTGCGAATGAGAATGTAATTAAATTTGAGAGTGTTAGTGCCAAAAACCAAGGCCATTAAATAAATGAATCAGTGATCAAAACTAGTCAAACTAATGGAAGTTACTAATCTTTCCATAACTGTTTAATTGCTGATTGATGAGACGCATATCTAAGAAGAATAGTTATTTATCATTATAGGAATGTGGAGATTGTTGAGTTTTAACTAAGTTCAATAATTTAGCGATAACATTTTAATAACAATAAATTTTTAATAGTTGATCTCATGAGCCGATCTAAGCTAAACCACCATTGAAACGCTGCCAGCACTGGTCGTTCGTCTCGTTCTAGTTTGGGACTCCTCAACATTGAGTATACCCAATCCTCTATACGGGATTCGATCTCAGGACCCGCGGTATTGCGCTCGAACGCTTAACATCCATACCACTGAGCCAGTATCAAACGGTGTTAGTGTCTAACTTGTACTATAGAACTGTTTAAAAGCCTCCATCTACAATCTATCTCATCCGCATAAAATACATAGAACTTATAAACGACGTGCATGACAATTTCGGATCACAGATTCAGACTCCAATAGCCCATATTTGTTTTTGATTTCAGTTAACTCATAAAAAATAAAACGAGTGGTCCTAATAGGTATCTTTCAAATACCCTAAAAAAACTGTTATTGTACTTAAATATTTTCTAGAATCTTCGAAAAAGTCTTAGAAGACTTCTAATCTCAAGTTGTTGACATTTTCTTCAATTTAAAATGAACTAGAGCATAGTTTTCACTTTTTAATCAACCCTTTATTGTTTAACAGTAGTCACACTAAAAGATGTTGATTTGGTCTGCTAACTATATAACCACTGACTTAGTTAATCTGCATTCAAGAGTTTCAGAATGCTGAATGTTCATAAGTCGATCAAAAATTCATGATGAGTTTATTTTAGTAGTTTAACTCGAGATAGTTAACTAGAAATAAACAGAAATTAAAATAATTGCATAGTCATCCTTTTATCGAATACATTATCGGTTGGATCTGACGTAGATAAGGGAGATTCACCGTGATAGTATTCATAAGCCATCAGTGGGTATATGAATATTCAGACAGATGGAAATCATATAGATAGCCAACAAAAACCAAAAAATATTAGAGAGCTGATTCGTCCTAGTTCTTAACACATAATCAGTGTTCATCGAACACCTTGCCAGGGTTATCGGGTATTGGGCTATAAATGGAGAATGCATTGAAGTTAGAAACTGTAAGCAACTGGTTTCTGTTTTGGCGATTTAATAGTAACATGCTTGACACGTGATACAGATTTGTGGATGAATTTGTGAGCTCACCACTGACAAACAAGGTTGAAACAGTCTTCGAGTGATGTCTGGTGTTAATAATTATTCATTTGATATTGTTCCGTGGTGAAAAATGTTTAATTACAAAATCGAGGTAAATTTATTACTTTGACCATAGAAGACAGTGGGATTATTTGTATCGTTACCAGATACCTCAGGAAAAGGGATTAGAAGTTATAATAGTTAGAATGCGTAACCTATAAAATCGTGCTCAGAGATTTATTCCTCAGGAAACTGAACAATCGAATCGGAGGTGATTTTTAGCTTCTTCAGATTTTAGGATACATGCATTTATACCTCCTAACTAAGCCCAACGTATTTGGCACAGTTTTATTCTTATCAGATTCAAAGTTTTAAATGCAACTAAGTGAAACCAGTATTTAAAACTTTTCAATTTTTGTCTCACATTGATCGGTTCATGATTTACGTGGAATTTGAATTCAGTGAAAAGAAATACTGGTCAGACTTTTAATAAAATCATGACAGCTGAGACTAGGAGGTCGATAAAGTAACGGAAGAGATTTGCCCGATACCCAAAAAGGAATGGATAGAAATATTAATATTGTTGTACCGATTTAGAACGAAAATCATTATTACTTACTTTACTATAATAAATATGTTTATATTTGCATTATATATTGTAAAATCAATAAACAATGCACGAGTTGATTGATCTATCCACCGACCTTGAAATAACTCATTTAAAATGGCTACAGTTTCATCATTTGATCTGGACAAATCTTGTATATAACCGGAACCATCATAATAACCATATGGTGCAGAATAACCGGTGGCTCCTGTAACATCAGAATCCCTAAAGTTCCATCTTTATTGAAAAAAATCATTAACAGTTAAAAAAATACACATCAGATAAACAATTTAATAACATATTAGTTTGGAATACTTGCCCAATACTTTAGCGTAGACAAGTGCATCGTCAGAATAAATGTTGAGAACTTGATAAGTAAAAATAGTTTCAATAAAAAATGTGATTACTTTCATTTTTAAAGTATCGTTTTTGTTTCATCAACAGTCAATGGTGTGGTTGTGTGCAGGTTGTTTTATTTGTTTACATTTATGAAATATTACTAAACACAAAAGGCAATAGCTGTTCATATTTGAAGGTGACACTTGCACAGCTGGTCACTATCCTGTGTTAATCTTCCCAAGGCATAAAAACTTGTTGGAGCATGTTTTTCAATAACAACTGAACTAAAATTTTTCTTATACAAAGAAAAATGTTGTTGTCTTTGATTTTGTATAAAACATAAACATGGCTATAGTTTGACGTGTATTTTTTAAATCATTTTGAAGATATATATTATTGTCCTTAAGGATTTCTTGAGAATTCCAGGCATTTTAACGAACTAATCAGAATTTTCAGTATAGGGTTGTGAAAAGTTTTGAGTTTTAATTGAGATCATGAACTGATCAATGTCAGACCGTCATTAAAAGTCTGGAAGCACTGGAAGGTCGTTTTATCCTTGCGTGAGACTACTCTACAGTGCGCATCCACGATCTCGCATACGGGATTTGAACCCAGCACCTTCGGTCTCGAGCGCAAACCTTTAACCCCTATATTATCTAACGGTGTCAGTGTCTAACTGCAACTAATCCGGTGGGTCTCAGTCGCGTCAGGCATGAGGCATTTACTTGCTGAATATAATGGGGATGTTCGCGCAATATGATGGATTTGTTGAAGATATAAACTAACGCTGTCGGTTTGTATAAGGGTTAAAGGTTTGCACTCGAGACCGAAGGTGCTGGGTTCGAATCCCGTATGCGAGATCGTGGATGCGCACTGTAGAGGAGTTTCACGCTATGATGAAACAACCTTCCAGTGCTTCCAGACTTTTAATGATGGTCTGACATTGACCAGTTCATGATCTCAATTAGTAATTCCGATTTGTTAAAATGATTTCCTGCAGTTATAAAAATCTAGGAGTCTGAACTATTATCAGAAAAATAATAAGATCGATGATCAGTATTGAGTGCTGGATGGATACTGTCAAGACTTTTTAAACTAGTGCATTTATTACTGGTTTCCAATGATTCTTCCGGTGATATTAGTCTTCAACATAAGTTGTCTTCAAAAGTAATATAGCTTACAAGCCGTTGTTAGGACGAAATTTTTAAAAAAGAGTAGATTTTTATAATACACAAAGTAATAACCTAGGGATAATAATACGTACTATCATAATGAGAATATAGAAATAAAACATTTACATGATAAGAATTAAATAATGATATTGGTGGAAAAAATACTTTCAAAAGTTACCGCTTCCTTATTATTCACTCCGTTACAACAGTACTGAAGTGTGTGCATTGAGTAGTTGTTTAGAACTAAATTATTTAAGTTCGTTACCTTTCGTCACGTGATAAATAAACCAGTTCGATAAGTTTATTAGTCTAACATTCTTTGTAGTGAGTCAGTAACTATCAGTCACTAATACTAGAGCAGAAGTGTCTTCTGTTTCAAAAATTTTTTCGCAGTAATCCTACTACATATACCACTGAACTAGATAAATACCAATAATAATTCTTTAAAGGAATTCATTTTGAAAGGATATTTCAAGAGAAGACTCTATACATATCAAACTGATCCACTGTTTACCGAAAAAGTCTTTTGTTTTGAAATCCTGACCAACATTATATGAATGTTTATAATCATCTCTTCAATATAACATTATCACCATTAACGAAAATAAACTATAATAGTTGATTCAAAAAGTGGACAAGAAAGTAACTTACGCATTTTTTGTATAATTAGGTGTGATATTTCCTTGTATTTCTATTGGTTTTGTAAAACGTGCTTTTGTGCTGTAAACAGGATAACACTTTTTTATAACACCTTTCATCTGTTTTGGTATATCACATTGTGATGGATCTACTCTAAGTTGTCGAAGACGTGCAACACCTAAAACTTTATTATCATGAGCAATAAATTCTCTTTCATTAAATGATACATTAAGTTGATTATACCAAGCATCCCAATACAATGAATTCAATAATTGACCATTGATATACTTTGAAACAGGATATGTATTGTTTAAAAACAGGAAAAAAAAATTGTTTTAGTTTTATGAAAATTTCCATTTAGAGAGAAAAGGCAAACAAGTTTCAACTAACTTTACCATTATAGATGTAAACTGAAAAATAAGTTTTACAATAATCGTGATTGTTACACATTATAATTTCTATGAATACCATTAAACTTTTAATTTTCTTATCTAACGTTTAATTGGTATGGATTATTTGTTTACTATAAAATATTATACATAAATATATATGTATATCGTTGTAGAGCAATAATTTAGGATTCCTTGATAAGAACTATATCTATGCTGTATTCATCGTATTTTAAAAAGAGTATTTCATGCTGAAAAATTATTTTTGAATATTACAGTTAAGATCATGAGTCAATTAAAGCTAGACCACCATCAAAAACCTGGAAGTACTGAACGGCCGTTTTGTCCTATTGCGGAACTCCTCAGCAGTGCGCATCCACGATCCCGACTCGCGGGATCTCGAACCAGAGCACTTAACCAATAGACCACTGAGCCGGTATCCGGCGGTGTTAATATCTAACCTCAACCAATCCACGAATTTGCGCGACCAACTTCCATTGTACTGAGGTAGATGCCTGTCTCTACCTGACATTAATTAGTTCCACTGGCCACGACTTCTCACTAGAACTTCAGGAATTACCTAATGGAGCCAGTCACTAGTGAGCATATCATCATCACAACGGGGGTTTTGTAGAGAATTTAGTGATTTCATAGTTAAGATCATAAGTCAATTGACTAATCAAATGGATGAGAATTTATTTACTCACCAATTACTATCCTCAAGATAATTCATAAAACTACTAATCAGAAATTGTGAACCGTAAAGTTCAGCTATAGTATTGGAAGATCGTTCTAACTTATCTCAATTTGACTGAAGTTAGAAAAGTAAACCAATGGATCCAAACATATTAATCTAAAAGTAGCATGATATAAAGGACCTGAGTTCGATTCCATGTAGAGTTTGGGATTGTTGAAATATCCAACTCTTAACGGATTAGACATCGGAACGATATCTACTTCTGAAATGTGATAACATTACCTTAGGCTTAATCCCCCCAATATCACAATACGTTATAAGAGAAGGTGGGTCTTGGTAACAGAACTGTTGTTATTTTAGAGAGCAGTCAAAATCTAATACAACTAAATGTTTATATGACAATAAAGATGATCTTAAGAACATATAATAAAATTGTAAATTATAACAAAAAGTGACCAGTCAGAGAATAATGAATGTCAGCATGGTAGTCATGAAATTCAGATCGCCATTGAATTGCTTACACTTTATTTTACAAATTCTTGTATAATTGGAAAAAAAGATAATCTGAGTTCTTCTTAGCATTCGTCAGTTTTTAGAATTAGAGAGTTGTATGGAAACACTGTGCCATACATTTTAGTTTACAGTGGTTCTGCCACTGATTCTATTACTTGATAAAAACTACCATCAAATGACACAAATTTCCACTACTAACAAAATGGTGGGTGCGCACTGCTGAGGAGTCCCACAATAGAACGAAACAGCCGTCCAGTACTTCTAGGTTTTCCTTGGTGGTCAACTTCGAAATTAAGTTATTATTACAATAAACACAACTAGTTTCTTTTGTGTTAAGAATGAAGTAAAATGTAACACTTGATATGAATATATAACCATATATGAGACGTATTTAAGTTAGTACTTTATAACTAAGGCACATAACAGAGTGGGTTGGAGAATGCTGGTCGGCGGCCTATGCTCTTTTGGGAGTAACAGGAATAAGTAAGTAAGTAAGATTTCCCAGTTTAAACTATTCAATAAATTTCAATAGAAAAATATCAGGAGTAAAGTTTACAAGATTTAAAAGTGCAAACTCACATTCCACATAGCTGTATGATCGTGAATATTTTGAAATGGTTGCGGACTATCAGATGTCGTTGAGCCGTCTGTTACTATGAACCGTTTGTATACACTTGTGTTGTAGAAATATGTCACTGAATTTAAAGTCGTCAAAGCAACTGAAAACAAAGTTGAATAATAATTTAAAAGATTTGGGATCTGTACTTACATTACAGGTAACTTATTAGACAACTAAAAATAGTCAGTCAAAGATATAATTAGAGTAGCGAAATAAGAATAGGTAAACTAAAATGAGGAAATAAAATAACGAGCAGAACCGCAAGTCAAAAAGCATCAAGCCACTGATCTATTTAAAATTCAAGATTGTATGAATAAATGAAACAATATCATTGTTGAATTCAATTAGTATTGTTTGTTGGAATCTTGCCATTGATGTTTAGGACTGCGATTGATCAGTCCCTAATTGGCATATGTGCATACTGTGCGTATTGCCTTGATATAGCCTTAATTCACAAGTATTATAAGCAAAGATGGATAGTGGCTAGCAGTGGAATCCAGGACATCAAATCTGAGATGCAGATACATCCAACTGACGAGTCCCAAATAGGACAAAAAGCGCCTCCTGAATTCCACTGCTAGCCACCATCCATCTTTGCTTATAATATCATTGTTGTTTATAGATATTACTTACTACTAGTTCAATATTCAATTTCTAAAGTGTAATTTATTAACAAGTCTACGTCACTATTAATTCATCATAATCTATCTTTACAGGATGCTTTATTTGATTATGCTAAATCTAATTACATGTCTTGTTCTCATAAGAAAACTTATGTTAATATACGCAGATTATTCATAAGAAGATAGTATAATTGACCATAAAACTATAGGACAAGTACTTTAAAATTCAAAGCGTTAGGTCAGATCTTAAAAGTATACACTTTGAATATAATACATTTCTTTGGTATAGCGCTCTCATATTTACTGGAGACAGTCATAAACCACATTAAGTACTAACACTTTGATTGGAAAGCATAATTCATCTGTCTCAAAAGTGGATGTAAGTTAAAATCCACCGATAATTGAGATTATGTTGGGTAAACTGGAACTCTGGATATCCTAACAATCCTCGTTACTGTTCTTAGAGAGGATGAGATAATTGGCATGTGACTTCAAATGTCAAGTATTGTTGTACTTAACAAGGTAGTTTATTTAAGAACAATACTCGATAAAATCAACCTTTAACATTTGGCTACGATAGAACTAGCTTGGTAGCAACACTAAGGTTTTCTAAATTTAACTTGAGTAGAATTATTTTTCACAACTTATTAATTTCGTGTTTATATGTGAATTTATGTCTTAGCGATATTTATGGACATATGTATATATTTTAAATATCACTAGCTATTTTCATCCTTTTCCTGTTTTAAGCTTCCGAAAACTAAGCAAATGTAACTGACTTTGTCAATGAAGATCAAGAAGCCTTAATGGCTTCAAATGAGAATTCTGTTTTCTTATGATTTTTCAGCCATAGTCACCTAATAATAATGGTAAACGCTGAACAACATAGGTCAGGTTTGTAGGTAAAATTCTTGAACAAGTAGTCTCTTCATATTACGACAGGTTTAATCATGAACTATGATTATTAAAAAAGTGCTTAAAATCAAATAGCGTAGAATAACTGTTTTGATCAGTTTTTCGAGTCTTCTCAATAGCGCATGCTAACTTTATACTGAACAAAGATTCCAGTATATCAGAAACTAACTGAATTTGATACTATAGAGCTCGGGGTTTTCATACATTTACCAGAAAACCTAGGGATTTATGGTCCAATCACATATTATTCTAGGAGTACTCACTCAAAGATTTCCTGGATAGGCATTAAATGATTATCTAGTACCAGTTAGATTTCAATAGTTATCTAACTAATATCTTTTTGTGATATAAATTATCTTCTGTTCTAAAGTCGTTTATCTTGTTAGAAATAGCTCAAGGTGAACAGTTTACACAAAAATGTCTCAGTCTCTATCACTGATTGATAATGTTTAGTTCTATAACAAAAGTATAAAGAGCTTAACAGTTAAAGATAATGCTAGTTAACTGAGGAAATATAATTTCAAGGTTTGTAATTTTTTGACACCAGATTTATTTCATTTTTACATGTGTTAAGATGGTTCACGAATGATTCAGTAAACCATGTAAATGTCGATACGACGTTTCATTTAAATTCTAATAAGTCTGAATAAGTAATTTAGTCTCTGTTGTGGTTCATCGGTCATGAAGAAAATGATCTGTGTCATTTTATTCAAATATTCTGACTTTCAAGGATGAAGAAGTAGTAAAGTCGTCATCAGTACTGATAAGTATGAATAAGTATATAAGCAAGTGATCTCTCGGTATTACTTGATTCCACGGAAGTAAGCATTAATTGGATAAACAATTATCATAGATAATTTTGTCAAGCTCATTCTAATAATGGATATTGGTGTACTATCACAAACCTAGTTTGTAACTCTTCAACAATGTATAACTACTCTGTACAGGATTAAATCTATAATGTTCAGCTCTGGGATGCGATTCAATCGTCCACAATTTTGAAATACACGGAATTCTTTTAGAGCTCACGATTGCCATAGGATAGTGGATTAATACAGTAAATTTTATTTTAAAAGAAATCTTAAATGAAATTACCAAATAAACAAAAATAATCCATAGCACCAAATCTTACTTATCAGTAGTAATGTCAAAAACACTATATACACTAATAATTCTCTTAGTGTAGTACTTATGAATACTCTTCGATCAGTGGCATTGACTGTATTACGCGTTGTCCAGATGGCTATAATAATTTTTAAAACGAAACAAAAAAGTATTAGAAAAACATATCACGAAAATAATCTAAAAAAAGCTGTAACTACATCAATCAGGTTCCTAATTCTCGAAGACGAGAAGGCACTGTTGTTAATAAAAGTTATATTTAGTTTTTCATTATATTAAGGAAGCAATTTTCCGTTGATTGGGTAACAGTATTTATGAGAGTTTGCATCTTTTTGTAGAGTTGTACGACTAAATTGATCTTCCTTGAACAAAAAAAGTGGGATGAAGATGTGTACAGTTAGAATTTCGAATTGAATGAGGCATACACCTTGAATTCTATTGCTAACTATTGTCGTAATTATTATCAACGCGTTAATCCAAGTAATAATGAGAGAATCTATTCAAAATGCATACCTATTAACCAAGACTAATCACATATAGTTTTAAACATTAACAACGAGAAAATATAATCCCTTATGAATTAAAAGATAATTTTCATAGTTGAAAGCATGAGTCATTTGAAGCTAGACCACCAAGGAAAGCCTGGAAGCAATGGACGGCGGGGCGAGATCGTGGATGCGCACTACTGAGGAGTCCCACAATAGGACGAAACGACCGTCCAGTGCTTCCAGGTTTTCCTTGGTGGTCTAGCTTAAATTGATTCACGCTTTCAACTACGAAAATGCTAAATCTCTACAAAACCCCTTCTGATTAAAAGATAATTACTTATTTAATGGTTTAAAGACAATTAGTTTGAATATGCCTCATTGTCCACAAATGAGCGAAGTTAGTACTTAATAATACCTTTTTTATGTCATCAAAGATGTTCTGTGCCAATATTTGGGTATAAAAGTGTTTATTTAAAGCAAAAAATATTATTGCGAACCATTTAGAAATAATAAATCGTTAAATGTGTTAGCAGGAAAATTGGTGAAGAAAAACGAAAAGTTTCTCTATAGGATATAATTTATATGTTTAACACTGACTTAAATCTGGATTTACCGTAAATGGTCCCTTAAATTCATGTTGACTGATATGAACAGAGAAACAAGAAGCCTTGAAAAACTACGGAAGCTATTTTTGAGGACGTTATTTGATTTAATTCAAAGTTTGTATAACAGTAACATTTACTTTTGCCCCTAATCTATTACGCAGATCATAAGCTTTCGTTTGATGTATGATTCACTGCGATAGCCTTTTTCGTTCCAAAGCTATTGTAATTTAGACTTAATCTTTTGTACTCTATTTTCTACTCTAATCCCCCAGTTCTGAACATAATTGTATTTTCCTAATTGTTGTACATTGTGGTCAGGTTAGTCATCTATTTATTCATGTCTTTTTACACTAATCTGAATTCGGGTACCAGATTGGATTTTGGGATAAAGTGGGTGAAGTTTCAGTTGTCTTGTCTTCTCTCTCACGTGTGCTTGTCAGCCAATCAGGTGACAGAACAGTTTTCTTCTCTGTATCCCTCGAACTCACTCATACTAGCCTCAAGGTTAAGCCAGTCAGCCTATCGGGTCGAGGTCTTAATCTACATTAGGACGAGTTAACCTGGGCACGAAAGTGGGTAGACAGATCAAGGACGTAACATTGACCATGAGTGAGGTAAGTTTACGATGCTTAGAAAAACTGCAGTAAATATATTGCATATACAAACTAACATGAGACTGTGAAATCAAAAGCAGAACGGTGGAAATCAAATCTTTCTCACAGTAATCTCGTTTTAAAATTTGCGCAGTCGAACTTTTCCCACCGTTTCATGTGAATGTATTCAGAGACATAATTTTCAAACACTTACTTCGAAAAAATCGATTACGTAGAATTGGTACTGACGGCTTTCTTAGCTTTTCATTTGTTATATTTTTCGAATTATTTAGAATTTTAGGATTTGTCTTCAATTGACTTTGATCTTCAAATTGTACTGTGTTCAACTTCGTTACTTGTGATTTACGATTTTTCACAGAATAATCAGCATCTTCCATTTTAATTTATCTTTCAAAATTAATTACAGAAAATGAGTAGCGTAACGTAATTCATGGATTCTTTAGATAAATATAATGAGTGAGATCTATAAAAGCTTACCATAAAATCGGATGATGTGGAAAAGTTGTGCTGTTCAAAGTTTTTAACATTTATCAATAAACAAAAATATATTTTACTTAGTATTGTTTGTTTGAATCTTCTCATTGATGTTTAGGACTGCAATTGATCAGTCTCTAATTGGCATATGTGCATACTGTGCGTATTTCCTTGATATAGCCTAAATTCACAAGCAATGTAAGCAAAGATGGATAGTGGCTAGCAGTGGGATCCAGGACGCACGTTTCGTCCGATTTTCTCAATCTACGGTTACTTGATAAGGTAGGATATTTTCGAGAAACTACACGCTCTAATCATAGTTTAATAAACTAAGTAATTCAGTTTAAGAAACCTATTTTCAGTGAATGTATGACGGAGTTGTAAAATTGCATATATATATATATTCTTTGAGGAAATATGAACACGATAATATAGCAAGAATATTGTAATACTACGTAGGACATAGTTCAGTCATAGGCGATAATTAGAGTATCTTAATCAAACTACATAATGTAATAAGTATATCTAGATACTGTAAACGTAATATTAAATGCTTACAGACAGTCTACATAAGGCAGTTATTCACGCTCACCACAAAAACACCGTCTTACTACCTTAAAAGAAAACATCTTCAGACAGTCATTAAAACTGAATACAGTTTTCTAATGTATCATTACCAAGGTTTGACTTGATAGTTTCGAATAAATTGAGCATTGGGTAGATTGTTATAAATAAATTAACATGTTTGTAATATTATAATGAGTAGAAAAAAATAGATTTTCTGACGTTTCATGACTCATTGTAAGCAACTTCTTCAGAGAATAAATAACCAGATCAAAATTAGTCCAAATTTAAATAGTATAAAGGCACCACACAAGAATATTAATATTTAATTATTTATTTTCTGAAGAAGTGTCTTAAACTGAGTGACGAAACGTCAGAAAATTTAATTTTTCTACTCATTAGGATATTATAAGTATATTAATTTATTTACAGTTTTCTATGTAATTGTCTTTTAAATACACATCGATCAATTCACATGAATAAAACAAGTCGGAAAATTAAGAATTCTTTGATTTATTAATATTAAGAGTAAATCATGATTATAAGAATCAAGTTGAATGCAAGATATTTGACTGTTGAACATGATCAATTCGATACATTTTATGTTTCGGAAATATAAACAACATTAGGATGATTGTTACTTAAGCTTTTAAATGATTTGGTCTGTAGGACATATTGAATCCAACCACTTTTGGTATAAGAAATTCACGTATGAATAACTCGATTCTATCTGGGTGACAAATTCAAGATAATATGAGATGTATCAAGAGTTCTGTTGTTAAATATTAATTAAGATATAGTTATAAGTAATCACAGCATAGGTATTTAATGGAGAGAACAAGTGGATGGAGTCGTATCAAATCATATAATTTATTAAAAGGAAACTTCATGTCCAAGTCCTAGTATATAAAATTTCTTATTAATAACCAACAACTTAACGGTCATAATTCTAACATAAGAACTGATAGAAAATGAGCTTTACTTTCAGTAAAATCATTAATTGAAATATAGGTGTAACAGAACGATGACCTCCAAGTGGGACTGGATATACTTTGTGCGTTATATTATATATCAAAACCCATTTTACCTTTGCATAGTATAGAGAAAACTAAGTGAACAAGAATAGTCTCTTCAGAAATCGAGTAATTGAAATGATGGTTACAGCACTAATCAACTTGCAGTCATCTTCCCTTTACAATTACTTATAAATGAAATAAATCGATGTAATGACTGATTCAAATGGTAAAGTGCATTTAAGTGTTTGATTCCGTTACATTGCGTTATATATATATATCTGCATTTGATTGATAAGCAATCTTAAGCCTATTTTCCGAGACTATATTGACAGATAGTTTAAAGTGGGAGTTTATGAAATAAGTTAGTTTGATTTTATTTATTTAAGCTTCCTTGAATTGGAATAAACGTGAACAGACTATAGGTGATGATTACCAAGATCGTAAATTAATTTCTCAGCAAACTAAACCAAATGACAATATTCATCACTTGTGATTGTCATTTCATGTTGATTCAATTGCAAAATAATGTAGCAACATATTGAGACCGAGTTGAGCGAATAAAGATATCGTAGAAAATGAATGATAAAATACAGTGATTAAGTTGAACAATAATTATGGTTTTGAATAGAGGTTATTCTTTCAATAGAGTATCATTCTGGAATAAATATGGAATTCGATTCATTTCGCTTTACTGCCACAATAGGACGAAACGGCTGTTCAGTGCTTCCTGGTTTTCCATGGTGGTCTGGCGTCAATTGACTCATGATCTCAACTATATAAAATTAATGTGGATCAGTCAATTCTTTATTGATACACTTTCAGGTTAGTCAGTTAGATGAAATTTCTGATTAATTTGAATATTTACTAAGACTGAAGGCTTTATTAATAATAATAATTATGCTTAGTTGTTTAAGGATGTGTGAGTGATAAGTCTTAATCAGTACGAAAGATTAATGAACACAACATGGATTACTACTTCATAACTAGTTAATGTAAACATGAATCCTATACGAGATCTGTTGTGAATTTAAAAAATAAAGGAAGCCGTATGCTAATTTGTTATTGATTTTATGACGGCTTTTACCACGTGAATTATCCACTAATCGGAATACGACTTTTCTAATCTCAATATTGTGCTAATCAATGACGTTCAATTGGTATGATCAGTCCAGCGTCCTTATTGGTCCCTTGTCCGCCTAGCCCTTTCAATTGAGTACGGAACACCGATTGCAGCTTCTTTATACGTATCTATGCGGGGTTTTTTTCAAACATACTCTGTTTATATACCAGACAGACCGTATCACACCATGAAATAGAAAATAATATTTGTACAGGATCAAGCCAAATATGGCTGTGAACGTGGGATACAGTAATCTAGATACAATTTGGGAATAGTAAATCGTATAATAATAATTCATAAATCAAAATGAAGCTTACAATAAGATGAATATAGATATACACAATCTAATCACTCAATAGTTAAACAATATATATAGAATAATCGTCCATTAATAGGTCTCGGAAGTTACCCGTACTTATGTCTTCGCTAGGATATAACAAGATCACTCGCGATTCAAATAATTCAGTGATAATATCATTCAAATTGTCACGTGTTCGAATTTCACGGAAAAAATTAGTATCTTCATGATTACAGATACAATTTACTGACAAGTGCAAACCTTTAAACTGATTGGATCAAAATACCAAACTCAACGAAGTCTCAGAAATATAATATTTGGAACTATGGTTCAGTTATAAAATAATATGCTGATAGTACAGTAAGAAAATTATTAAAAAGCTTTAAAATATGAATATTGTAAAAGAGAACTTACATTATGAAGTTATTTAGAAAGAAATTATAAACATACAGTTGTATGTTTTAAAAAGGAACTTATATAAATTATGTGATCTATAATTGTTTTGTTCTTATAACCAATTAAAAATGAAAGAACATTCTTCCATCAACATCTTAAGAGGATTGAACAACAGATATTCATGGCATTGTTTCAATAGCAACACATGTGACATACACAGTTGTTTCTATTCCAACTAAATAAAACGTTTCACAAACATTAAACATTTATTATTTTAGTATGGAACAATGGAAATGGATAATAATAATAAGTAATGTCTTTTATTGTTTTTACAGTTATAAATGATCACTTTGGTAACTAGAGAAAATAAAGTAGTATAGAGTAGGTCATCTTTACAAAATAACAAACAACAGAGCCAGTTAAATAATTATGATATTTTCGGAAAAAAAGTTTAATATGGTTTTCTAGTAAAACGTTTCCGGCATAACTTAAATTAGAATAAGCTAAACGTGAACGTAACCTTCAAATATAGGAGAAATGGTGCTTTTTGGATTAATTGTACACATGATATCAACTTATTTAAAAATCTAGACAATTCATAATCGGAGATTTAAAACTATTAATCATTGTGATTTGAAGCCATATGAATAAAGTTGGATACCAATAATTGTATCTTGAACGGCATTATTGAATATCAGCTCTTTCCAGCAAATCGTTTAAAAGATTTTAACTTGAGAAATGGAAGATCTGAAAACTACTAATCTGAGAGAAGCGCATTCTCAAGATGAAAGCAGACTACACTATAAATTTAAACGGAATTCTGTTGAAATTAAGATTGAGAACATAGTTTATTGGATTTTGATTAAGTGAACTCAATGATATTGCCTTTATCGCGAGAAATGAATGTTACAGGTTTGACATTGTATAGGATCATGGGTGTGCATTATTAAATCATAAAATACAAATCAATGATCGATCGGGAATATCGTCAACATAGTTCTACTTTACAAACTTTTGCATAATACGCCAGATGAAACCACATTATTAAAGTAACTAGGTCAAGTTCCTTACGACCAATCTATAAAAAACTATGTCATCAGCAGTTTTGAGCCTAATTTAAATACGAAGGGAAAGGCTTTCAAAGCAATGACATTGTATAGCCTCAGTCTGTGACATCTTTGTAGTGCTTACCAAATTCATCAGAAAATGAGCTCAGGATTTTCGGCTAGAACAATACCATTAAAAATTAAAGAACAATCGAAGGGACTCAACTTACAGGCTAGAACTCCGGACTACCTAGTTCGGTTTAGGATCTGAGTATTATCACTACCACTAACACAAACAGAATGCCATAAAACTGAGTGGATAAACTAGTATTTGGTAGAATATCATTACTCGCACCAATCAATTCACGATTTCATGAGACCGTCATTCAGTTTTATGGCTGATAGCTGTCTGATAAAACTCAGTAATGTTCTTTTGTTCGTACTATACTGATTTATCCCCGTTATTTATATTT